GGCCTTGAACTCTGAACACTTTTCTTAAAACACAAAACAACACCCCCCACAAAGCAAACAAACAAAAAAAAAAAACTTGAAAAAACAAGAGAAGATTTGTAGGACTCTTGGAGGGGTTGGTTTGGGAAGAGAGAACTTTGGAAGAAATAATATAGGTAGCTGTGTTGGGTATTGGTTGAATTAGTATTGTGATAAGGATTTGGGCACAAAGACAGCTGGCATTTCTCAAAGATCTACTTACTATATTAGGTATTACTTTAAAAATTGTAGATATTTGTAATACAAACAAGATATCTGAACTGTGTATTTTCCTTTTTATATATTAGGTACAAAATAGTTGTATTCTCATGGTTCCCTAAATTGTTAGGTTAGGGATTTGTAACAAGATGTGTCTGAACCTAGAGTTGATTATTTGAGTGTGGATTGAGAGGGTTAAGCAGTGAGGGTGGACTTTGTATGAATGGGTTGCCCATTTTCTTCCATCTTCTGCAGACACAGTGTGGTATAGAATAAGGACCAGGTCTCTGGCGTTCTGTGGGTTGACTTGTAAACATCTTTGTTCTGCTAATTAGTTCTTGAGTAACATTGAGGAATCACCTAATTTCTTTGAGGTTGTTATTTTCATGTTTAACAGAAGGTTAGTGATACAAATCTCGTCTCTTATAGAGTTTGGAAATTTAAGATAATGTCCAAGCTTAGGCAAAAAAGGAAAATAAAAACCTGGTAAAGCTGGAGTTAAACTGGGGGCCATGTTCCAGCCCCAACAAGCATCAGGACTTGAAAGCTTTGGCCGTGTGGTTCTGGCTTTAGAATTAAGGGTGGAAGAAATGGATTATAAAAGTTTCCTCCATACTTTAGGACAGCCAGTGAGACCAGGGATGTGTCAGGTGTCTCCCTGAATGGAGTCCTTAGAGAGGCCATTGTGTTAAAGTGTAAAGTTGAAGCCTGGATTGCTTTGGAGACTCCAAGATGTTAGAGATGCCAGAGTGATGGGACAGCTATGGAGGAGAGCTGCTAACAGGGAATGGAAGCAGCCCAAGAGAAGGAAGTGTGCTGCAGTCAGCGAAGCTGAATAGAGCTGGAGATGTGGAGAGTGTTTTGACATCAGACGTGGAGATGCAGAGTCTGGAGTTTGCCCAGCTGATTTTGGTCTTGCTTTGGTCCAGCATCTCCTCACTATGCTCCCTTCCCTGTGTGTTGGAGTGCCATTATATGTTGGAAGTATGTAATCTGCTTTTTGATTTTGATTTTTATAGGTGATTGCAGTTAAGAAATTGCCATGCATCTCAAAAGAGACTAGACTTTCAAACATGTTTGAGACTGTAAGAAACTATTGGGACTTTTGAAGTTGAACTGAATGCATTTTTCCATTATGATACGACTATTAGCCTTTGGGATCTAGGCAGTAGAATGCGGTGGTTTGAAAGAAAATGGCCCCCAAAGGGAGTGGCACTGTTAGGAGGTATAGTCTTGTTGGAGGAAATGTGTCAGTGAGGGCAGGCTTTGAGGTCTCTTTTCTTAAGCTTCACTTAATGTGAGTCAGTCAACTTCTTGTTGCCTGCAAGATGTAGGACTCTCAGCTCCAACACCATGTCTGCCTGCACGCTGCCATGATCATAATGAACTAAACTTCTGAAAATGTAAGAGAACCACCACCAATTAAATATTTTCTTTATGAGATTTGCCGTAGTCATGGTATCCCTTCACAGCAATAAAAACCCAAACTAAGAGAGACCATATGGTGATAGATGTGGAGGGCAAAGTTCGGTTGGCACGCCAAGGGTAAAGTGAACTCCAGGCAATACTTTGCAAATGAGGAAAGAGCTCACCTGCTGGACTAGCAGTTCTCTGCAAAATGATTGAGGATGACAGTCATGATGTTGGGCCACAACAAGTATTTATGTGAAGTAATGATTTAATATTTTCCATTGTAAAAAATCCATCATTCTCAGGAGTTAATTTTGTTCTATAGGACAGAATAAGAACCATTATATGAACAGTACTGGGGGAGGGGTCTGGTGATAGACTTGGCTTTTGTTTAGAAGAAAACAGTTTATAACAGTTGGAGCTGAAAGCATTGAGCTCCCTATCAAAGCTTGTATTCACCGGGAAATGGATGACCTGCTAGAGATGTAATAGAGGAGTCCTTGCACTGGTCTGAGCAGTTGGTGATGGCCCCTTTACTAGGAAACTGGTTGATTTTGACGTTTGAATCTGTCTATACATATAATCAACAAAGATTTGAGTGCTGCCTCCCTTTATTTGAAAAGTTGAAGGTTAGTGTTTTGTTTTCTTGTTTGGGTTTTTCCTTCCTGTGTGCTGAAGCAGAGTCTTTGCCATTGGCTTCTATATCCCCATGGAATTTGAGAACCTTTAGCCAGGTGTGGTGATGTAACAAGAGCTGCTGTCCTTACCTGTTGGGCAAAGGGCACAGTCCATGCCGTGTACCTGGAGAATCAAATACAAGAATGTGCTGCCAAGAAGTTTGCTTTAGTGCTTCACATTTTTGCTGAAGAGCCAGTCTTTCCAGATATGAGTTATTTGTTTATCTTAGATGTTTGGAAATGAATGACCTACCTTCTGTTACCATGTAAGATCTCAGATGCCATAGCACCAATAGTTTTCATTTGCTTCTCATGCTCAGGAGCCTGAATCTGGCTGGAAATTGTCTGCATGCCTGTGGCTTAGTCAGGTCTTCTCCTTTCTGCTGAGTGCTGTTTGTGTTTTCCCCCATATCCTCTCAGAAGGTTGTTAAAGTGGCTTGCCTTGTTTTGTTTCTTTACTTGTCTATCATAGCTCTCATAGCTCTGGCTCTCACTCTTGTAGACCAAGCTGGCCTTTCCTCACAGAGCTCTGCCCTCTTCTACTTCTGAGTGTGGGATTGAAGGCCTGAGCCACCACACTCATCAGTCCTGTTTTATCTTTTAAGAACAGAGATTGAAGTTCAGTTTGGAACTAGGTTCTTGATTTTGCATTGTTTATATGTTGTTACTGGGCAGTGCCCATGTCCTGTGACCAAAGTGCTGAACACCGTGGGCTTTGGACAGAATTCTCATGTGCGCTAGGAGACGAAAAGCCTTTTATTCATCTATGATTTCTGAAAGCATTTACTTTTTAATATTTTTTGAGATAGGGTCTTTCTTTGTAGCCTTGAATTCTCAATCCTCCTGCCTCTGCCTCTTGGGTGCTGGTATTACAGACATTACCACTTGCCTGCCTTGAAGTTAAGTTCTTAAGCACAGATTTCAAGGGGATTGGGTCACTGTTTAGAAAGCTTGGTCAGAAGTTCTTCATGCAGTTCTGGGTTAGTGGGAGGTTAATAACCTCAGAGGAATGCTGACTTGGTGCTTAGTATATTGAGGCAGATGAAGACGAGACATTTGTTTACACTGAGTTTATAAAGCAGGTATTTATTACTCCTGCAGTATTGTAGATATCTTGCTAAATGTTGGCCTGGGATAAAATAAATCATGTCCTGTATCCACTGACTTCTTGTGTTGTTAGAGCACTAAAAGAAATAATAGTTTCCCTTTCTCAAAAAAAAAAAAAATCAAAAGAGCTACCTACCACCATCAAGACAATGAGTTATCAGGTTAGAGAGTTAGAATTTTTATAACCCACAATATTTCTTATTTGCCTTACAATATTCAAGGAATGAAGAAAATTGGGATCAGATCACGCCACTAAACAAGTTGTATCCTGGGACAGAAGCGGGGTGAAGAAAAAAATGCCTGGGAGTCATTCTTAGGCTTTAGGTGTAGGAAGACTGTTCCGTCTGAGTCACCTGTTGTTTTCAAGAATTCTGGTTTTGGCTTTTCCAAAAAGATGGAATTAGTGGGTGTAGTGGGCAGTGGGTACCTGGGCATTTTATGAATGAGCCACCTTCTCCAGACCTGGTGAATTTGGTCAGAGGTTGTTCTCCACCCTATTTTTGCTTTCTCAGCTGGTACTGTTAACCACAGAGGAATGTTGGCTTGGTGCCAGGTGGTCAGGTCAGAGACATAGTTTCTGCTAAAGTCAAGTCTGAAAGAAAGGATTTTTTTTTTTCAGGTAAACTTACCTAGTACTCATCTATCCTGGAAGGAGAAAAGCATTTCTGATTCTGCCTGTTTCCTGAACTCCTGAAGTTGCTTTTGTGATGAGCCTTGGGCTCTACTCAGATGTGTAGAATAGCTTGCTGTTTTATTTTCAGTAGTTCTCAGTTTTTACTTTACACTTCCTGTCTACTCAGCCAGCAAGGGAATATTAGTCAACCCTGAACTCCTCTGCTGTGTTGTACTCATGTGTTTAATAAGAGTCTGTTAAGGGCCAGTGTGCCATGTGTGTCAAGTGATTCGTTCTGATGATACATCAGGAAAGAACACACACAACTTCCTATTTCCCAAAACTTGGCGTATGAAAATCAAGAGAGCTTAGACAGGGAGTGATTAAATTAACTTCAGAGGAAACCCAGGGCATGATGGCATTCAAGATGCTGAGGCAAAAAGACTGTAGAATAAAGCATTGTCTCCAAAGTAAACTAAAACCCTTAATAATAAATATATTTCAGAAAAGAAATGAACATGGGGCTATGTTAGGAAACGTTGCAGGCTAGGGAGCTTTATAGGGCAGCATTCTGCTGCCTCCTTCCTTTCAACTGGAGAAGCAAACTTGATGCTGGGGTGGGTATAGAGCACTTGCGCAGCATATTCAAGCCCTAGGTTTAATACCTAGTGCCTCTTTCAAACAAGCAAATAAAATAAATAAATAAATAAATAAATAAATAGCGGAGAGAAAGCTTTGTTCATAGTGGTTTGTGGTTATTGTAGGCAATAAGACGTTATTATTGTTAATGAGGAAATTAGGTGTGATTCTTCAAATAATTTTAAACTTCTTTATTTCAAACTTCAACTAGAATGAAGGAACCAGAATAGCTTCCCATTTAGATAAACCTGTTGGAACTGGGCTGGGGTGCTGCTGTTCTAGGCACTTGAGCCTTGTGTGCTTTATCTCCTTCTCAGGGTCAAGCCTGGATTTTGATCTATGCTCTGCTCACACCCTGCTGCCTGAGAGTACCTGATGATCCCATGACCCTGGACATGGATGCTGTCCTGTCGGATTTTGTCCGTTCTACAGGTGCAGAGCCAGGGCTGGCCCGAGATCTTCTGGAAGGTAAGGAGAGAGTGAGAAAGAGAAAGCAAAATGCCATATTTACTAGGAATATTTAAGGTGATCAAAAAAATATTCTGTATACCATAGACCTCCATTTAAGTTGCTTCTTATTACCTGCTTGGTGTGCCCAACTAGTTTTAAAATCCAAAATCCCTTCACCTTGTATGTTTTTGAGAGCGTTCTTCATGAGTTTATATTCAGATAATCCAAGAAGAAAGTTAAATTAGCTCACTAAAATCATAATCATAAGTAAAATCACTTATGTGTAGAGGCTCTAGCCTCTACACACTTGTCTATACACACCACACACATGCTTTAACCTCTATACATACTTTTATGCACACACCACACACACACATATACTACACGCAGCACAACAGCACACTCAAAATTAAGAAAAAAATTAAAAATGAAATCATCTTCTTATAAAATGTGCAGTGTGCCTAGCATATGCCAGGTACTTGAGATGTATTTTCTCAACTACCATGCTATACCTTTGAAACAGAGGTTCAGTGAAGCTACATAGGATTTGAACCTTGACAATTTTTTAGAATGTGTCTCTTAATGATTATGTTACAAATTACTTCTTATATGTTATAAACACTTATGTTATATAAAAAAAAAAGCGCTGAGCGTGCTATGAGAGTGAAGATGGAAATCTGGTTCAGGTCTAGAGTTTGGAAGGCCTACCCAGGAGAAGTAGTTACAGACAACCCTAAGAGTAGAGAGAGATGGATGTAATGTAAAGAGAAATAGTGAGAGAGATGAGAGAATGATTGGGAGCTGGTTAGGTGGACAAGAAGCAGAATATGGAGCCTTTGCTGGCCATAGTAAGGGACTTCTATGTTCATTGGAAGTGAAGTTTTTACTAGAATAAGAATAGTTTTTCCAGTTTCAGTGTTGAAGCTATTCCAATAGGATTGTATTGGAAGGTGGCCAATGATAAAACCAGCTAAGAATTGCCGTCGTTCACGTGAGAGACAATGGTGTGGGCGAGAGGGGGAGAAGCTGATGGATTTAGATTATATTAGTAGCTGGAGAGATAATTCAGCAGTTGAGCATTTGCTGCTCTTACAGAGAACCTGAGTTCAGTTTCCAGTACTCACATAGTGGCTCATAGCTTTATGCAACTTCTGTTGGCTTCCTTGAACACCAGGGAAGCATGTGATACACACACATACATGCAGACCAAACATATATACACATAAAATAAAAATAAGTGACTTTTTTAAAAGGTACAATTTAGAAAAGAAATAAAGAACTTTGATGTTGTCTCCTTCTTTCTCATGCTGTTTTTCTTTAAAAGTTAACTCTTTCCGAGGCATAATGTCACATAATCACAGCACTCAGGAGAGGCAGGAGGACCTCTGTGAATTTAAGACTAGCCTTGTTCTTAAATCAAAACAACAAAACATTAACTTTGGTTGTAGTACAAAGAATAAATTAGAAAAAGATTAGGAGCAGAGAGACTTAGAAAGTCTTATTAGAGAGTCTCCCTTTCAAAACACCAAAGACAGGCTGGAGAGAGGTTAAGAGCACTGGCTGCTCTTCCAGAGGTCGTGAGTTCAATTCCCAGAAACTACATGGTGGCTCACAACCATTTGTAATGAGATCTGGTGCCCTCTTCTGGCCTGCAGGCATACATGGAGGCAGAATGTTGTATACATAATAGATAAATAAATCTTAAAAAAAAAAAAAAAAGGATTTGAGTCAGGGCAGAGACAATAAGAATAGACAAGAAGGAATGGATGTGAGAGATATTTAGACCCTGAGGATTAACTGCGATAGTTAGGGAGAAGAGAGTGTGAGGAGCTGAAACTGAAGGCTTGGGACTTTCAGGGATTGTGATGCTATTACTTATTTAGGGGTCACATGAGGAAGAGAGGGCACACATGTTTTGGGGTGGAGATGGTTGGCTGATGGTTTTAAGGTACTTTCCTGACAGTTGGAGATCCTGTTCTTAAAACAGGCTATAGATTAATAGATGAATCGATTTAGGGAAAATACTCTCCATTTATTCAGCAAATATTTGTTGAGTCTCTTCTAGATGCTAGGTATTATTTTGGATGCTTGTGCCAAACAAAAGTTCCTATCCTAATGTTGCAGTTGGATAAACAGTAAACAAGTATGGTAGAGATACACATTGTAAAGTATGTTCTAGGGTATGGAGTGCATTTGGGAAACTGAGCAGAGTGATGGAATGCATGTGATTTTAAACTGGGAAGCCAGCGTAGGACTGACTAAGAATGTGATATTTGAACAGATACCTAAGTTTACAAAGATTCAAATATGTAGATACACTGGAGAAAAGTCTTCTATGCAGTAGAATAGGCAAGAGAGGCCTTGGTGGGAGCAGTCTTGGTATGGTCTAGGAACAGCAAGGAGACCAGAACACGAGTGGAGACTAGAACAAAGAGTGAAGAAAGAGAGTTGAAGAGTGTTAGAATTAAGTCAGCAAGCATGGTTAGAACAGAGACTGTGGCAGCAGTAGTAAATGCATGTGGGAATCTGCATACAAGATACTGTTGTAACGTGCTTTCGACTCGCTTAACCTTCAGAACAGCACTGTGCTTCAGGCACAGCATTGCATGACTTTTTTCTGGGGAAGGATATTTCTATCCATCCCTGATAGAGGGAGCAGATTGTAAAAGCCCCCTCAACCAAGATTAGCTTGCTGAACCAGAACTTATTGAGGTTACTTTTAGGAGCATGGGTAGCATGCCAAGCATGTGGAAAACTGGACAGCTATACCACCAAAAAGTCTGTCTTTGAACCAATTCTTAAATTTGTATATATCCTTGAGCAGAGGAGGGACCTAATGAACGCCATTAATCTCATTACTATCTCCCTACTAAGGGGGAATTAAAAAAAATTGGTCTTATTTTATGTCTGTGTGTGAGTGCCTGACAGGTATGTATACTATGTGCATGCCTAGTATCTAAGAAGGCCAGAAGAGGGTGTCAGATGGCAATGATCATATCCAACCTGGAAGAAATGGCTACACAGCATGCTAGTATTATTATCTACATTTTCATAAATAAGTAAATTATAGCACAGAGAAAAGGCTAGGAAATAGGAGAGGTCATAGAAAGTCTCGAATAGTGGGCAAAGGAGTAGTGATGAGCCATTACATAAAGATTTTGAACATAGAGCTAAAATGGTTAGATCAGTGCTTTAGAAAAACAAATCTCATGGGATTTCTTGGGTAGATTGGAGGTGTAGGGTACTCAGTGAGAAGCTAACCCAAGGCTGCAGCAGCTAGAGTGCACAGGTGCAAACAGCCAACATGTATGAAATAATTTAGCTGCAGAAAACTGCGATCGAGTCTTTGAAATAGAGAGCTGTTTGTAAAGCAGGAGCAGTGCAGCACCTTTTGGTGCTGTGATATCTAGAAACTCTTCACTGGACAGTTTCACCATTAGGTGGCTTTCAGACATCCTAGAATCTACCTCAGCTAATGAGCCCGATGCAAACTAACTGTGACTTTGAACAAGTCATGGTACTTCTGTAAGCTTTGTCTCATTTATCCTAAAAGGAATTTCATTTTAGTGACTAAGTCTCTGAAGAGCCCTTTGAGTTTAGAGACAAAGTATCATTATATAGTTTACATAGGAAATAGACAATAAAGAAAATCAGTACTTCAGATTGAAGAAAATTAAAGTAGTTGGATAAGAAAGTTGATAGAATTGTGGTGTGTATTATTAGTATGTTCTTACTTGGCTCATTTATTTATTTGTTCATCTATAACTATATCTCTATCTATCTATCTATCTATCTATCTATCTATCTATCTATCTATCTATCTATCTATCTATCTATCTATCTATCTATCTGCTTTTTCGAGACAGGGTTTCTCTGTATAGCTTTGGCTGTCCTGTATAGATCAGGCTAGTCTCTCACTCCAAGATCCGCCTGCTTCTGCCTCCCAAGTGCTGGGATTAAAGGCATCTGCCACCACTGCCTGGTATTACTAGGTTTATTTTTGATATGAGGTGTTTTGAAACTGAGTCTGAGGTAGACCAGACTGGCTTTTAAATTCTTTGATCCTCCTGTCTCACCCTCTTGAGTTCTAGCATTGTAAGCTTGTGCTGCCATACCTGGCTTGCTTGGTTGTGCTAGGGTGGTTAGAATGGTCTTCCTATGTCTCTCTTCAGTTTCATAATACTCTGGGTCTAAAATGGTATTTTTTTTTTTCTATTAGGAAAGAACTGGGATGTGAGTGCTGCCCTCAGTGATTTTGAACAGCTACGCCAAGTCCATGCTGGGAACCTGTCCCCACCCTTTAGTGGAGGGAGTAGTTGTTGTAAGACCCCTGAAAAAGGGTGTTCTGATAGAGAACCCACTCGCCCTTCTCGACCGATCCTACAGAGACAGGATGACATCGTTCAAGGTATTGCTTGAACTGAGTACTAAGCTTTTGCATGTGGATTAGGAAGAGTTTGTGTGCTCCTTTAAAGGTGTTTTCATTCCTTAACTCTCTTCCCACCAAATCCAGCTGGTAATTTGTAGCTAGCTATATAATGGGCTGAGACAGTTCTTGCTTGCTTCACATCGACAACTGCATAGCATTAGAGCTCCCATCCCCTGTGATAATCACCCATGCACTTCAAGCTGTGCAAATACATACTATTATACTGACAAATTTTGCTCATAATGTTACATGGGCTGGGGCATTGCAGGTGCCATGTACTTAAAACATATGAAATGATTTGGGGATGCAGTTTACATTACTGTTTTGCTCTCTGGCATATTAAAATTTGACTGTCTCTATAATTTATGATAAATATGAATACTAATAAAAGTTATAGTAAATAATATAGATGTTGGTGATGACACTGTCATTTTCTTTTCTGTAATGGAAATCTTTTCTACATCCTCTAAGACCCTAAGGATTACTAGAGTCATTATTTGGCTAAATCCAACCAAATGAAAGCCCATTTCTCTTACTTGTTCTTCTTCCCACTAGAAAAATGACCCAGTTGCTAAGTGAATGACTCACACTCGTGTTGAAAAATGGGAGTCAAAGATGAGGTCATAGGAAAAGGAAAGTCAGGGAAACCCCAACAAGGTTAGGTGAATGTGTTTTTGTACTACTCTAAGTATCTACAAAAATACCATTTTGTATATTCTCCCCTTTGTGTTTGGCTTAAGAAAAGAAATACCATGAGGTTCAGAAGTAGCTGGTTAGGTACAGTTTTTCCTTGACTGGAAACTGTCAAGTGCTCTTACCACCTTCATCTGTGGAGAGTTCTCAAAATGGGTTGCATATATTCTAAGGTGACTCCATTTCTCATTGCAGAAAAACGCCTGTCTAGGGGCATCTCCCACGCCAGTTCCAGCATTGTTTCCCTGGCCCGGTCCCATGTCTCCTCCAATGGTGGGGGTGGGGGGAGCAGTGAGCACCCCCTGGAAATGCCCATCTGTGCCTTCCAGCTTCCAGATCTCACTGTGTACAAAGAAGACTTCCGAAGCTTCATAGAGAGGGACCTCATTGAACAGTCCATGCTGGTCGCCTTGGAACAGGCAGGTCAGTGGGTGTTTCCTCTTCAGCGATGTCTCCTCTAGTCTCTGCCTGCAGCCACAGAAAGGGGCCAGTCTTCATCAGCAACCTCTTTTTTAAGTGTGTTATCTGATAGTTGTCAGAGATAGGGGTCAGTCAGATACGTGTCCTGAGATAATGAATGAAAATTAGCCAAGTGTGTGGGGAGGGGCAGGAATAAACATGAGATACTTTGGAAAGTTCCTATTTAATAGAAGGGAAACCAGATATGTATGTGAAGGGTTTAGTAATTGATGCCCCCAAATCAACACATGAACAAATATGACTGATTATAATTGGCCATGGAGCACCTTTGCAAACACAGAGGACCAAGGCTATAGATGATGCACTGAAAGTCACATCTATTTACCTTTACAATTGAGTTCATTTTAAATTAGCATTAAAATTAGTTTGGGTCAGCAAGATAGCTCCGTGGATAAAGACATCTGCCACCAAGGCTTGATGACTTGCATTTGATCCTTGGGACTCACACTGTGAAGAAGAAAACTGACTCCCACCGGTTGTCTTCTCACTTCCACACAGGTGCTGTGACATGCACACATGTGCCATTGCTTACACACTCACACACTAAGTGTAATTTTTAAAAAATTAGCTACTGTAAAACAGTATGGTAGTTGGCGGTTCTGGGAAGAATTTATGTGTTAGAATATCCTCATGGTGGTTGTGGAAATTGAAAAAGGCCAGGCTTAGTGGTGTGTTCTTTTATTTAATCTCAGCATTCTAGAGACAGAAGAGGCCCATCTGATCTACCTGGTCTACGCAGCAAGCTCTAGGCTAGCTATCACTACCTATTGAGACCTTTCTCAAAAATGGAAAAAAAAAATCCCCAAGAGGGCTAGAGATATGGCTCAGAATCTGTTCTTCCAGGGACACAGGTTTTGTTTCAGTACTCACATGTAAGCCTGAAGTTGTCTATAACTCTACTTGTAGGAGAGCCAGTGCCCTCTTCTGACCTCTGAGGGCACCAGGCATTCTTGTGGGGCATAGACATACATGCAGATAAAACACTCATACACGTAACTTAAATAAATATTAAAAAAGATTTTCAGTTCTAATGGAAGGAAAATTGGAGGTTGAAAGTGGGGACATGGAAAGGGAGTTTTTTCATTTCATATCCATTTAGAAGCTAGCAAGTTATCTGGGCTAGTGAAATTATAAGCCGTTTTACCTTTTGTAAACTTTTAATTGCTCAAGGAAAGACAATTTTAAGGGTCATTTGTAAACTAGCTCCCTCCTGTAAGTCCTGACTTGTGAGATTGCCGTTCACAATTGAGTCTGATTTACTTGGATGCTTTATGTACTTTTTGATTATAACTTTAATGTCACACCGCATACCTGCAGAGTGCTAAATGATACAGACATATACCATACATAGTTTTTCTTTTGTTTATGATTCAGTTAAGTTGAGCTTTGCTTCCAGTGTATTTACCAGTCTTTTTGCCAGAGTGAAGGATTCCAACAAAGTAGCTAACAGTTTCAGTCTGAGCACTATTGACTTTTGGTGCCAGATTAATTCTTTATTGTACATGCTACCTTTAGCATTATTTTATGTTTATAATATAATATAATGTTCTCTCTGGTCTCTGTGTGCAAGATACCAGAAGTATGTACCTCTCTACCAATTGTGACAGACTTATCTTCATACATTGGCTAATGATCCCATGAGACAAAACTGTCCTTCCTTAAGACCACTAATCTAACCAGTCATCCCTATACATTCTAACTGTAAGAAAGACTATATAGAGAGCCACAGAGGCTGGACTTCATGTTGTGTTCCTATAATCTCAGCACTAAGGATGCAGAGGCAGATGTACCAGTAGTTCAAGGCCCGTCATGTTTAATGAGATCACGTTTCAAAATCATAATAATAAATAATAACAACAACAACAATACAGAGCATGCAGTATCTCTATTGGGAGGCTTAGGCAGAAGGATCATGTGTAACAAGACACCCATCTCAAGGGGAAAAAGAGTAGTTTTATTCCGGGCTGTCTTCTTAATCCACTTCTCTCCTTTTCTCCTACTGTTGTGTCTGTAGGGCGTTTGAATTGGTGGGTCAGTGTGGACTCCACCTGTCAGAGGCTGCTTCCTTTAGCAACTACTGGAGATGGGAACTGCCTCCTGCATGCAGCCTCTCTTGGTGAGTCTTAAAAATGGTCCTCCCTCCCCTGTAGAGAGAAAGCAGTTGAGCCAAACATCACGTGTAGGATTTCATCTCAGGTCAAGTGATGGCTCACAGCAGACTTAGAGAGATGGGCAAGCCTTGGCTTGGCTTGTTGTCCTTAGAGATGGACAAGCACAGGGCTGGTTTAGGCTCCATTCTGAGCTGAGCCCTAGGAGTAATGAGCATAGTAAGCAAAGTTTGTGTGGCTATATACATGTGTGGTGGCAACATTATACTTGATTATTCTTCTACTTGGTCCTTGTGACACTGACTTTGGACTCACAACTCCATATATTTGTTCTTAGCTTTGGAAGGGGTCCCCATTTTCTAGCTATTTCATGAGCTCTGATGCTGATGCTGATGGTCATGGTGCCATACCAGTCTTACTGGCTGTTGTGTTTGGTTTGTTAGATTTGCTGAGGAGTAAGGGCTTCCTTTCAGGAGTTTGGGGGATGTATTCTATCCTCACCATCCTTTTTTGAGGCCCTGGGTTTGATCCCTGTCATCACAAAACAAAGGCTGGATTAGTAAGTGGAGCTGAATTAAGACAGTGTCCTGTGCCTTGCTTTCTCCCCACAGGGATGTGGGGTTTCCATGATAGAGACTTGGTGCTGAGGAAAGCTTTGTATGCACTAATGGAGAAGGGTATCGAGAAGGAAGCATTGAGAAGACGCTGGAGGTGGCAGCAAACACAGCAGAATAAAGAGGTGGGTGAGCTTGGGTGGGAGAACCCTGTTTCCAAAGTCTCCTAGTGCTGGATTGTGTCTTCCTGTGTACTTCTGAAACTCACAGAAAAGCAGGAAATGCCACAGGACAAGTGCCTTCTTATCTACTAAGACCAGCTAATTGAGGCCTGTACCTGCGAGAGAAACCTGTGGTTTCTAACATTGTGCCTCTTAGTGGAAGGGTTTTTGTTTTGCTTTGTTGTTTTAATGCGCTATGAAAATTTCATATGATTTTTTTTTTTGAGACAGCATTTCTCTGTAGCTTTGGAGCCTGTGTTGGAACTAGCTTTTGTAGACCAAGCTGGCCTCAAACTCACAGAGATCTGCCTGCCTCTGCCTCCTGAATGCTGGGATTAAAGGTGTGTTCCACCACCGCCTGGCTTCAATTTCATAGGATTTTTGTACTTCATTTTGTATTATTAGGCTAGATTATCTATCCATTCATCCATCCATCCATCCATCCATCCATCCATCCATTTGTTGGGGGGCTGCATACATTACTACAATGTGTATGTGGAAGTCAGAGGACAACTTGTGGGAGTTGGTTCTCTCCTTCCACTGTGTGGATTCTAGGGATCAAAACTCAAATCATCAAGCTTGGTGGTAAGTGCCTCTATCTACGGAGTTATCTCACCTGCCCTAGATTAATTTTCAGGGTTGGTAGCAAGTACCCTTAACTGCTTGCCACCCATGTTTTTAATTCTTGTGTAAATGCTTGAATGTTTTTAATAGTCTACAACTTTGTTCTTCAGATACTTAGCTTTGGTTTGATTAAAACATGTAAAAAGATACTTGTTAAGTTGAATTTAAATATTACTGTTCAGAGATTTGGCTGATATTGTGATTACTTTTATATAAGAAATTAATGATGGATTTTTGTTTTGTTTTTCGAGACAGGGATTCTCTATTTAACAACCCTGGCTGTCCTGGAACTTGCTGTGTAGATCTCAATTATGACTATTAAACCTATTATAGTTACTTTAAAGATAGAGTTAGATTCTGGAACTGTTTATCCAGGAGAAGCAGAAGTAGCTAAGTTCCTTTCTGTGTTTTCTGCTCTTCCTTTTGGGGCATGTGTGCATAGACTAGAGGCTAGTGAAGGAGCAATCTTTTTATTCCTTTGGTGGCATAACAAAAGTCTCCCACTGGAAATGTGTCATTCATAATTGTCTTGCTTGAACTTTGATGACTTTATCCCTTACCTTGGGAGCAGGAAGGAGATGACCTGAGATAATTGAGTTTTAAGATACTCATTCTTTCCTGTTTCTTCTTATATTGTGTTAAAATTGATGGTAAAACTTGTTGGGAGCGTCTGCCACCTAGTGGCTGTGTGTATTAAAACAGGAAGCCGAGGGGCTGGAGAGGAGCTCAGCTGTTAAGGGCACTTGCTTTTGTGGAAGAGCTCTGCTGACTCACAGCTGTCCATAACTCCAGTTCCAGGGAAACAGTGCCCTCCTCTGACCTCACTGATCACCAGCAAGCATGTGGTGCACGTACATACATGCAGGCAAAATACATGCATAAAATAATTAATATTTTAAAAAAGAAAAGCCAGGCAGTGGTGGCACACATCTTTGATCCCAGCACTCAGGAGGCAGAGGCCAGCCTGGTCTACAGGGTGAGTTCCAGGATAGCCAGGGCCACAGAGAAATCCTGTCTCAGAAAGCCTGATAGGAGAGGAGGAATCAGAGCAGGTCCTCCTGGATGTGTATGAAAATGGCATGAGCATTCCATATATAACTTCTGTATTGTCCTCTTCATTTTCATCTGAAGTCTGTGGTAGTATTTTACAGTTTGCCCAGGTCATTACCTATATAAGTGTGCACACTAAAGTCAATAAAAATCTTTTCAGTTTGAAAATTACTTTGCATTTTTATTAAAGTATTGTCAGCATAGCTCTAGCCCTCATCCCATTTGTTCTGGTGCTGTTCATGTGCCCACGGTGGTCACATATGTGCTGGCAGGATGGAGCTGAGGAGTGAAACTCAGTTTTTTTCTCATTTGTTTTATCTTTTTAATTGTTTTTATTGAGTTATATACTTTTCTCTGCTTTCCTCCCCACTCTCCTCTTACCCTCTCCCATGGTTCCCATTTTACTCAGGAGATCTTGTCTTTTTCTACTTCCCATGGAGATTAGATCCATGTATGTCTCCCTCTTAGAGTCCTATTTGTGGTCTAGCTTCTCTGGGATTGTGGATTGTAGGCTGGTTTTTCTTTGCTTTATGTCTAAAAGCCACTTATGAGTGAGTACATGTGATATTTGTCTTTTCTGCGTCTGGGTTACCTCGCTCAATACAATGTTTTCTAGCTCCATCCATTTGCCCACAAATTTCAAGATGTCATTATTTTTCCCTGCTGTGTAGTACTCCATCGTGTAAATGTACCACATTTTCCTTATCCATTCTTTGGTCGAAGGGCAATTAGGTGGTTTCTAGGTTCTGGCTATGACAAATAATGCTGCTATGAACAAAGTTGAGCACATGTCCTTGTGGCACAATTGAGCATCCTTTGGGTATATACCCAAAAGTGGTATTTCTGGGTCTTGAAGTAAGTTGTTTCCTAATTTTCTGAGAAATTGCCACACTGACATCCAAAGGGGCTGTACCAGCTTACATTCCCACCAGCAATGCAGGAGTGTTCTTTTGTCCCCATCCTCTCCAGCATAAGTTGTCATCAGTGTTTTTGATCTTGGCCATTCTTACAGGTGTAAGATGGGATTTAAGAGTTCTTTTAATCTGCATTTCTCTGGTGGCTGAGGATGTTGAGCATTTCCTTAAGTTTCTTTCAGCCATTTTAGATTCATCTGGTGAAATTCAGTTTTAATGCGAAACAAAATATACTGATAAGATAAACTTAATCTCTCAAAATCAAATCATCACATGTCCTAAAGCCTTTTCTTCTGTTTCTCTGTTCTCTGTCTCTCTCTCTCTCTCTCTCTCTCTGTCTGTCTCTCTCTCTCTCTCTCTCTCTCTCTCTCTCTCTCTCTCTCTCTCTCTCTCTCTCTCTCTTCAATATGGAGTCTCAATTAGCCCAGTCTGGCCTCCAACTTACTTTGTAGCTGAGAATGACCTTAAACTTCTCATCATCCTCTGGGTGCCAGGATTGTCCATAGTTATTGGAGTATACCACTATACCCAGTTTATCTGATACTGCAAATAAAAATCAGGGCTTCGTTAATGCTAGGCAAGCACTCTGCCACCTAAGCTGCATTCCCAACCCCTAAAGCCTATATATCTTAAAGTCATTTGGCTAGATGTTGAGGCATGTCTGTCAGGAGGTTTACTGTGAGTTATCCAGTGAGACCTTGTCTAAAAAAGCAAGAAAACAAAGCAAATTATTCGTATTGCTATACATAATCCTTTAATAAAAATTATAACTTCACTTAGCATGGATTTATTGATTATTGATCATATAATAGGCACTGGGCCATGTTGCATAAAGCATGATTCTTTCTTGTAGAGCACTAGAATAAAATGGACATTTAAAGATATAGAGCAAAACAGACATAGTGTAGTGTCTTGTTTCCTGTTGATTTTTCAGTCTCACTGGTAGCCTCAGTTGGTTTGGCACCCTCAGGGATCTGCCTGTCTCTTCCTCCTGCAGGTGGTGTCTCTAATAGAGTTCTATAGAACAGGTGAGGAGAGATCCATAGGAAGGAGGGACTGTCCTGGGGAAGACTCAGAGGAGAGCTTTGCTATGAAGGGTGAAGAATTGTTCACCAGGCACACTGGAAGTGGTCATTACAGGCAGGAGGAATACCTATGGTAAACAATCAGAGTGGGAGGCAGTGCTCTTCAGGAGCAGCCCTGATAGAGGGGAGACTGTAGCTGGAGACTGTCTCTACCCAGTCCCTCTGGACTGATCCCCACAGCCACTTAGGAAATAATCATTCTGAGGCTTAATAGTAACTATAATTGGCCAATGGCTCAGGCTTCTTACTGACTAGCTCTACATAAAAATTAACCCATTTCTAGTAATCTGTGTATTGCTACCTGCCCCGTGGCTTACTAATAATGTTCTGGCATCTTACTCCTCCAGCGACTGCTGGCATCTCTCTGACTCCATCTTCTTTCTCCCTCTCTCTCTGCTTGGATTTCCTGCCTAGCTATATTCTCCTCTGCCATAGGCCAGAGCAGCTTCTTTATTAACCAGTGGTAAAAAAATAAAACATATTCACAGCATACAGAGGGACATCCCATATCATCTCCCTTTTCTGTCTAATTAAAAAGAAAGGTTTTTAACTTTAATATAGTACAATTACATATAACAAAACAGTTATCAAGCAAGAATTGCAGTTAAAATATTTAGTCTATTTGTATTTGACAAAATTAAATACTCCATCATCTGTTTTATCTTTGTGAGTCTAAAGTTTTATATTTATCTTTTATCTTAACTAAGGAAAACTGTAATTATAACTGTTTAGTCTTCAACTCAATCAAAGACCCGAGAAGGATCTAATATTACCTAATCAAACAGGAAGTGCATTGTAAGCATTTTCCAAAACTCTAGAAATGACAGAGATATCTGACTTAATGGACAGTTGTCCAAAGTTCTTCTTCAATGTTGGGGCATCCATCTTCAGCCTATAGGCCTCGAGTATCTGGCAGATTTCTCAGTGAAGCAGGAAATTTGAAGGACTGTCCTACTTATTTTTGCAAAATTCATCAGTCACTTTCTTCTGTGTCCTACAGAATGTCTGGCAGACTCTTTCATGAAGCAGGAACCCTGAAGGACTGTCCCACCTTGTCTTGGCAAGTTCAGCAGTCATTTTCCTATGGGTCCTGCATGTTCAATTTATATAGCATCTTGTTAAACAGTCCAGTAAAGAGCAGTTTCTCGCCCAAATGTCTTGTCTCACCACATTGAAAGCAAACTCCATAAGGAGCAGATGTTTCACATCCAAAGAATTCTAAGTTTATTAAAACATTTTAAATGCCATATTCTATAGATCTTTGAAGTGTTTGAAGATGACCTATCTCTCCATCTCTAGAAAACCTGACTAATGTGACGTTTGACTATGATAGATGACTATTCATTTGTATTTTTACCTATACATTATATTTTAAATGAACTACATAAACATAATACTTTAAACGAGAATAGAAATATACATATAGAAATAAAGAAAATTGACCTTAAATTTATACCAGTAAATCAAAATATATACCAATTTTTTGAGGTTAACAGTTGTTTTTGTATTAAAGTAGATTTAATAATCTACCTTTTTAAAAATTGTTTTCATATCATATCCTTTTTTCTCTAGAAAGAGATTGACTATGATCGTTAATAACCAACCCCCTTTAAATGAAAACAAACATTCATAAATAACATTTTGGTAATTTAGGCGTAGTTTTTTATTCTACTTCTGGCTGATTGGGGGTGTTGGTAATCTCATGGGATACTTGAGAAAATTTAGAATACCCTGACTGGGGTATTTTGTATGGTTGGTCCATCTCAGCCAGCAGCCTGGAAACTGTTTTGGATATTGGATCACCTGGGCCATCACTCCCATTGGAGACCTCTTGGGAGGTCTTGCTCAAATCAAACCATGGTAACTTGAAAGGAATCCACAGCCTCTTGTCACCTGTGGAAACAAAAGCACAACGTCTTTTCCCATATTTTGAAGTCAAGATATCTGCATGTTGCTTTAGCTTAGCAGCCCCCACAATCAACTGTCTCTCTGTAGTTAGCTCATTAACAGCCAAAATTTCAAAGAAAATGTAATAGTATACATAATCCAGACCCTCTGTGATTTTCCATCTTTTTTTTTTTTTTTTGGTGTACTGAACTCAAAGATTTTCTTTTAAATTCGAGAGACAACAACATGTGGCAACATCAGAAACGGCATCTCTGACCAGACAGTGCTGGCAGAGCAGAGTTCATCACACATGGAAATATACGGCCATCCGGGTTCAGTCTCTGAGCTGATTGAAGCTCTTCTGCTTGGTGATTTTCCATCTTTATGTGGTTTATTTTTCTTTATATTATTTTTACTGTCTCTTTAAAGACTTTAATTTTATTATTTTATTTTATTTCGAGACAGGGTTTCTCTGTGGCTTTGGAGCCTGTCCTAGAACTAGCTCCTGTAGACCAGGCTGGCCTCAAACTCACAGAGATCCTCCTGTCTCTGCCTCCCGAGTGCTGGGATTAAAGGCATGCACCACCACCACCCGGCTTTTAATTTTATTTTTTAAAATTATAACTGTCTATTTCCACTTTCTTTCTTTCTTAAGCCTGTGTACATTGTTTAAACATGTTGTGACCTATTTAGAGGTTTGTTTTTTTCTTTCTTTCCCTGAATCTGTTTTTATTGTGTATCTGTAATTATTTTCTGACCTGGAGAATTTTTAAAATACTAAGCAGGCATTGCTAGGATCAACATGACAGCTTAGACTGTTGGTTCTGCCCTATTGGCTTTCCAACATGGCGGAGGTAAGGTCACCGTCAGTTCTGGGAGCCATAGTCACCACCTGTGGGAAGCAGCAGGTCCATGCCACCATCAGGCAGACTGTAGCATACTGGCCATAAACATTTTGTCTGTATGAGTAAAAGCTAATTTCACCATGCAGTGCTCTCTGTGGCTTGGAGACACCTTTGTGTACTGTGGTGGGAATCTGCCACGCTGTGTTCCAGCCTGAATGCTGTCCTGTCTCTGCACCATGGCCTGCATGAGGGACACAAAGTCTATGCGTTTCAAACCCCACCCCCCCAAGCTTTCTCAGGTCTTATGTGGAAACTTGAGAGTTCCACGTTGGTGCAACAAATATAGTTTTCCTTGTTAACAAATTCAGAAAAGAAACTTATAAATGAGGTGTTACGTATATATGGTTGAAAGATATAAAAAGATAACTTTGGGTTGTTAATACAAGTTAGGATAGATAGTGAATTAGGTACAACCTTTTGGACTCACCAAGATAGGATAGTTATGGAGTATTTTCTCTCAATTTGTCAATTGCTAATGGATCAGACATTGTTGTTATTGCCTGTATATATTGTATATAGTTATTGTACTTATTAATATTCCTTAAAACGGCGGCGGGGCGGCGTGGGTGTGTGGACAAACACGGGATAGACGGCACGCAAAGGAAGAGACAGACACGCAGCTCCCACGTGGGTGCGTTTAATGGGGAGAGGGGAACACGATAAGGGCGGGACGTGCAGACACACGAGGAAAAAGGGGCAAGAGAGAGAAACCTCGTGGAGCGCTCGCTTTTAACTGCGGGCGCAAGGTTATCTGGGAGTGATGGTCTTCACCTGGGCGCGCCAGCGCGCACAGGTGAAGGGAAGTCTGGGAGCTGTAGTTTCCAAGGAATAACACTTATTGTATATAGTTTTTCTTATATTAGTTATAACCTTTTTTATTTTAGACAAAAAAGGGGAAATATGGTGATATTTTGTTTGTGCGCTAACAAATAAAGCTTGCTTGAAGATCAGAGGACAACGCTAGCCACTAGTTAACCACAGAGGTCTGGAGGTCTGTACAGACAGACAGGAAGTGTTATGGCTGGACAGAGAGAAGAGTATAGGGTGGGAGGGGACAGGAGCTTGGCCTTTTTTTGGCTGAGGAGTTAGCAAAGTAAGTGTTGGCTGTGGTTTGCTCCTTTGTTTCTCTGATCTTTCAACATTTGCCCCATATCTGACTCTGGGTTTTGATTATTAAGACCAATTAGACTTCATGCAACAGAAGACCAGTGCAGAGAAGGGGCAGGTACAGGTAGGCTTTGTATACCACGGGCAGTAAAGATTCTTAGAATATCTTCTCAGGAAACAAGGCATTAGATTTTCATCACTGGGGGGAAATGCAGTAGCCTAAAAAGAATGGATCTGAAGAATTCAGAAAAGCAGAGAGCGCTGCATTGCACGGCGTGCTTAGTAAGTGTTGACAGAGGCATGCAGGTGTGAGGTGAGTGAAGGAAGAGGAACCTCAGCCAACTCTCTGGGTCTTAGTCTGGGTATCTGGGTGATAGTTGGTACTGTTCGATAGGTAGAAATATCGGAAGAAGAATGAGTATGTGAGGAGACAGGACTTTAATTTAAATTCTAAAATAATAGAATTTAAAGTTGCTTTGGATAGGTTGCATTTTTTTTGTAGACAGGTATAGAACAAAAAATGAAAAGGAATTGGGAGAGGGCTGACTCTGGAGTCCTGAGCACCTAAGTGGAGTCATCAGAGTAAAGCAAGGCTCAAATGGTTACCCAAACCCCAGTTTTGTGGTAAGGAGAGTTCAGAGAATAAGAGAAGGCAGTGGTGTGGAAGCTAAACTAGAACACTCAAAGAGGAAAGTACTCAGAGACTGAAAAGAGAGCCAGAGTCCACTGACTGTCAGTTTAGTCAGCCAGGTGATGTACTCTGTGTGGACGGGGTAGTAGCAGAGAGAGCAGAACTAGGAGTCAGATTGCAACACGTGAGAAAGGGACAGAAGATTAAGAAATGTGAGATTACTAGACATGGCAGCATGTCCCTCTAATCCCAGCATTTGGGAGACAGGTGCAGGAGGACCAGAATTGTAAGGCCAGCCTCAATATACGGCTAATTCAATGACAATACAAAAGATTCTGTTTCAGAAAGAAATGAGATAGGGCATGGTGACGTGCCTATAGTCCCAGCATTGCAGAGGCCGAAGCAGGCCAGGTTGGTCTACATAGGGAGTTCCAGGACAGCCAGAACTATACAGTGAGACCTTGTCTCAAAACCAGCCAACCGATTTTATGGGTCTTGACTCTGAAAAGGAGAAGAAATTTGCCTCTGTGTAAGTGTAAACCAAGTGCTCAGAGAATAGAGAGTGGATGTCACGCTGGGAGGGTTGGGATGGCTATTGCCTTTTGAACCTAACCTCTGCTTGCCCGGTGTGCCTTCATTACTGTATGATTTCTTTCATAGTCGGGACTGGTGTATACTGAAGATGAATGGCAGAAGGAATGGAATGAGCTGATCAAGCTTGCCTCAAGTGAACCCAGAATGCATCTAGGTACCAATGGAACCAGTGGTGGTGGGTAAGTGTTTGCAATACTCCAGGCCAGGAGTGTGGGAATACAGTGGTAGGTAGACATGCAGGAGCTGCAAGAGCCACACAGGAGATGGCGTTGATCCAGCCAGTGAATAAGTGAAGCTAAGTAATAACAAGAACACATTTAATAAACTTTAGTTAAGCTGCCGAGTAGATGGAGGTCTCTTCCATGACGTGTCTGCTGTGTGGATTGTGGTGGTCAGGAAAGCAGGATGGAGCTGTGAGTTTATGTACTGGATCTTGGATAGAGAGACATGGGAGTTGAATATTAAGGGTGAGTATTAAGAGATGGGGATCACTTCCAGATTGTTGAATGTTTATTTATTTTGTATGTGTGTGCGTGGGTGGAGGAGTGGTGAGTGCTTGCGTGCATCACAGCACAGAGGTCAGAACACAGTACCAGGAGCCAGCACTTTCCACTGTCTGCAGTGTGAGTCTCAGAGATTGAATTAGGTCGTTAGGCATGATGGCAAGCAAGCTCCTTTATCCTTGTCACCAGCCCCTTACTTCCAGACTGGTAACACCATTTGAACCTCATGCCTTTTTCTTGGACTTCGTGATTGGTAAAGTGGGAGTAGATTCAACCCTGTGCCCCAACATAATCTGCAGGGCATTCCTTCCCCTTGCTTTGGAGCTAGTCTCACGACTCTTGTTTCTTCTTCTCCCTTCTGCTGTGCCTCCTCCATTCTCATCTCCTGTAACTGTAGAGTGGAGAGTTCAGAGGAGCCAGTATATGAGAGCCTAGAGGAATTCCATGTCTTTGTTCTTGCTCATGTGCTCAAGAGGCCTATAGTGGTCGTGGCAGACACCATGCTGAGGGACTCCGGCGGGGAAGGTGAGTCAGCCGGCCAGTCCTGTCATTCTACCTCCAGACTGTCCCTTTTTACAGAGACTTTGGCTGGACAGAACAGAAAGACAGACAAGGAGATATACAGACCTTTGGGGTGGGTGGGGGCTTAAAATAGTGGAAAATCCTCAAGAGATTCAAATGAAAGCTGTTGGGATTAATTGGGATGGGTGCTCAATTCAAATATGGGATTGAGGGGCTAGAGAGATGACTCCACAGTTACGAGCTTGAACTGCTTGTGGGGACCCAAGTTTAGTTCCTAGAACCCACGTTGGGCATCTCCAGGGGACCTAGCATTCACAACAGTTGTGTGCATGCCCCCACACAGACACACAGGAAGTGGGGTAGAGAGACAACTGCACAAGGGCCTAACCTTAGTGACAGCCTCCGTGGTTTCCTGCAGCATTTGCCCCTATTCCATTTGGAGGGATCTATCTCCCCTTGGAGGTCCCAGCCAGCCAGTGTCACCGATCTCCTCTAGTGCTCGCCTATGACCAGGCCCACTTTTCTGCGCTTGTGTCGATGGAGCAGAAGGACAGTGCCAAGGAACAAGGTGAGGGTCCAGTTCTGTCTTGGTTTTGCTCTGTGTTATTTTTACTCAAAAGTGAAAATGGTAGCTAAGAAGGAGGAAACAAGTCCAGACGGTGCCAGCTTTTGTTTTTTAAACCAAGCTATACAATATTGCCAAGAGTTTTTAGCTTTAAAAAGTGGGGGTGGTTTGGTGAAAAGGTGTGTCTGTCCCTGTTCTGGAGTAAAGGTCTCTTCTAAGGTACCAGCCTTCTAAGGCCTACATTGCTGCACCTGTCTGCAGAAAGTAGTCTGGTGCTCTGGCAGAAGTCCAGGAGATTAATAGGCTAAATTGTGTACTGAGTGGTGAGGGGAAGTCCTTTGGTGAGGGGAATGTACTTCACTTCTAAGGGTTGAGGGTGGATGAACTACAGTCTGTCACAGGCCTACATATGAGTCAGTGAAGTCAGTGCGTGTTCATTTGCCTTCTGTGCTTCCCAGAAAGACTTCTTGACACGTGTTTTTCCCTCCCCAGCTGTGATCCCGCTCACAGATTCAGAGCATAAGCTGCTGCCCCTGCACTTTGCTGTGGACCCAGGAAAAGGCTGGGAGTGGGGCAAAGATGACAATGACAATGTCCGATTGGCCAGGTGAGGCGAGTTTAGCCTTTCCGTATGCACTGTAATTGCGCTCTCTTCCATGTGCAGTGGCCATGTACAACGCTAGGACGGTCACATCCTTGGTCTGGGCTTACTGGGAAGGGGGAAGAGACGGAAGGCAGGCCGGGCATTGGGACACTGGGCTTTTGCAGCTGCTTTGTCTTCCTTCTTTTCTTAGAGCAGGACAAATGTTCCTGCCGATACATCCCAGAATCCTCAAACAGTGCTCAGAAAAGCAAGACACCCAAATTCCATTTGATTCTCCTCCCCACTTTGGTTTTTTTGAGACAGGGTTTCTCTGTAGCTTTGGAACCTGTCCTGGAACTAGCTCTTGTAGACAAGGCTGGCCTCGAACTCACAGAGATCCGCCTGCCTCTGCCTCCCGAGTGCTGAGATTAAAGGCAGGCGCCACCACTGCCCAGCTAATTCCTTTTGATTCTAAGCCAAAGCAGAGGAATTTTAAACAAGTGACCAAAATAGTCTGCTCCTAAATTTCTTTTTGGTGTTTAGATAGCAAGGAAGATGTGTTCTTTCTCATCTGCTTCTCAAAGCTGCCTCCTTGTGGTCTGGTAGCATCTTCTCCCACTTCCCTCCACACTGCAGAGATGTAGCTGTAAACACAGGTCCCTTACATCTTACCTAGTGCCTCCCTTTGGGAGCTGCCTGAGAGGGTTTGATTTTAAAGTCTAGTGCTTTATTTTTTTTTTAAAGATTTATTTATTTATTCTGTGTACAGTATTCTCAGTATTCTGTCTGCATGTATGCCTTCAGGCCAGAAGAGGGTACCAGATCTCATTACAGATGGTTGTGAGCCACCATGTGGTTTCTGGGAATTGAACTCAGAACCTTTGGAAGATCAGGCAGTCTTTTAACTGCTGAGCCATCTCTCCAGCCCCCAAGTCTAGTACTTAAAAAAAAAAAAAAGTCCTTAGAACTGAGCATTGTGGGTGGGCCATATCCCACATGGTACTCAGGAGGTTGAGGCAGGGGAATTACTGCAAGTTCTAGGCCAGCCCAGACTACATGAGTCCCTTCCATTAAAACAAAAGGAAAACTAAAAGCTATAGTCCTCACTTGATTGTCAGAATGCCAAATGATGTCACAGCAGTGACAATGACTGCTGTCTGGTGTCTGGACACTGTGAGTCCTTGCCAAAGGACTGCTTGCCTTTGAAGTAACAGCTGTTTACTTTTCTTCCCTCCTTCACAGTATCATTCTGTCCCTGGAGGTCAAACTACATCTGTTGCATAGCTATATGAATGTGAAGTGGATCCCACTGTCATCTGATGCACAGGTGAAGGCTGCTCCCACCCATAGCCCTTTGTGTCCTCACTGTCAGTGACAGGAAGAACAAGGAGAGCCCGTGAGCTCAGTTAGAAATCTGTTGTAGTACAGTTGATGATGACGTCAGAGCATGCCCTCCTCCTCTCTGTCTTCAGTCACTCTCTGCTTCCTTATTTACTTTACTCTTTGACTCCGTGGAGATTGAACCCAGGACCTCTACCTGCTGATGTGTGCTTCACCACTGAGTGACATGCCTGGCTCCAGACTCTGCTTCCTAATACTAACCTACACTCCTTAAGAAACCTTTCTTCTTTTTCCTCTAAATAACTTGAGATTGTCATTTCTGTGTCCTGCCCCTCACTCTTTGGATAGATCTTTTTTGGGCACCAGAAAGAGAGCCAAAGATTCCTGGTCACAAGTTCAGGAGCAGAGGCAAAGCTGTGAACTCCGCAGATGGAATCTACAAAAGCAGTGCTCAGGCCTGGGCGTTTGTGCTTAGTTAAGGCTTCCTTGAAACGAATTCTGAACAGAATTGGACATAGACAGACTTGTAATAATGAACATACTGGTATCTGCAAAAAAAAATTTCCAGCTAAGCAAAGTAGCAAATACCCTTAGTCCCGGTGTTTTGGGAAACTGAGGCAAGGAGATTATGAGTTCTAGGCTACCCTGGATGGTGTAACAAGACCCCATCTCAAATGAAAGAAAGAAGTAAAGAGGGAAGGGAGGGAGGGAGGGAGGGAGGGAGGAGAAAAGGAATGAAGAAAAGGAAGAGAAAAGGAAGAGAGGAAAAGAAGGAAGGAAGCAAACGCCCCTGCTCACCCAGAGGCCATGCATTACAGTGCCTCACTGCTGTGAAACACTCAGGTTCCCTCTTGAATCTCCTCATTACAGAAGGAGATCAGACTTCAGTGAGTGATGGAAAGTTAGATAGTAGAGAAATATCTTTTCTTGGCCCATGACCATCTGGCTGAAGCCAGAAAAGGACAGTGGCCTCTTGAGTGAACTTTGTCATACTAGTAACCTTCTCTGGAGCTAGACAGTCACTTCACAGATGGTGTTCATGGTGCACTTGCCACCTGTTCTAGTTTGCTACCTGTTGCTGTGGTAAAGATCATGACCAAAGAGTTGATGCGGGGAGGAAAGAGTTTATTTGATGTATGTGTTCTGATAGCACTCCAGCATTGTTGTAAGCCAGGGCGGGAACATAGAGGCAGGCACTGAAGCGGAGGTCATGGAGGAACGCTGTTTACTAGCCTGCTCTCCTGACTTCTCTTACACAACCCAAGACTACCTACTCAGAAGCAGTACCACCCACCGTGAGCTGGGCCCTCCAACATCAGTCACTAATCAAGAAAAGGCTCCTCAGACTTGCCAGCTTGCCAGAATGATGGGGGCAGCTCTTTAACTAACATTCCTTCTTCCTGGATGACCCTAACTAATATCAAAGTGATAAAAGCACTAATCAGGATAGTACCCTTTTTTGTGTGTGGCCAATAGCAGAGGTGACAGGGAGCCCTGTAAACTGTTAGATAGGTTCCGTGCCTGTGGAACTCACCCACACCAACCAGTGAGGTAACTGTCAATGGTGCTCTCTGTTACAGGCTCCTCTGGCCCAGCCAGAGTCCCCCACAGCCTCAGCTGGAGACGAGCCCAGGTCCACTCCTGAGTCTGGAGAATCAGACAAGGAGTCAGTTGGCAGCAGTTCTACCGGCAATGAGGGCAGCAGACGGAAGGAGAAGTCGAAGCGAGACCGGGAGAAGGACAAAAAGAGAGCAGATTCTGTGGCTAACAAACTGGGCAGCTTTGGCAAGACCTTGGGCAGCAAGCTTAAGAAGAACATGGGGGGCCTGATGCATAGCAAGGGCCCCAAGCCTGGAGGACTGGGGAGTGGGTCTGGAATAAGCAGTGGTACCGAGACACTAGAGAAGAAGAAGAAGAACAACTCATTGAAGAGCTGGAAGGGTGGCAAGGAGGATGCAGCTGGGGATGGGCCTGTGTCAGAGAAACCCTCATCTGAGTCTGCTGGCAATGGAGGGAGCAAGTATAGCCAGGAAGTGATGCAAAGCTTGAGCATTATGAGGATTGCAATGCAAGGAGAGGGCAAATTTATTTTTGTTGGAACCCTGAAGATGGGCCACCGGCACCAATATCAGGAGGAGATGATCCAGCGCTACCTTGCAGATGCTGAGGAGAGATTCCTGGCAGAACAGAAGCAGAAGGAAGCTGAGAGGAAGATCATGAATGGAGGGTTAGTTAGTGGGCCTCCTCCAGCCAAAAAGCCAGAGCCAGATGGTGGGGAGGTCCCGCCCAGTGACCCCCCAGCAGAGTCGAAGGCACTGGCATTCTCTGCTGGTTACCCTGGGGGCTTTACTATCCCGCGACCTTCTGGGGGTGGAGTCCACTGCCAGGAGCCCCGCCGGCAATTGGCAGGGGGCCCATGTGTAGGTGGCCTTCCACCATATGCCACCTTTCCCAGACAGTACCCTCCTGGGCGACCCTACCCCCACCAGGACAACATCCCATCTCTGGAGCCAGGCAAAGATGGAGTTCACAGGGGTGCCTTGTTACCACCCCAGTTCCGTGTGGCTGATTCCTATAGCAATGGCTACAGAGAGCCCCCTGAGCCAGATGGATGGGCTGGAGGTCCCCGGGGCATTCCCCCAACCCAGACCAAATGCAAACAACCGAACTGCAGCTTCTATGGACACCCTGAGACAAACAACTTCTGCTCTTGCTGTTACAGGGAAGAACTGAGGAGGGGGGAACTGCTGGCGCATAGGTTCTGAATGGGTGGGACCTGGCGGGAAGGGGCTAAACAAAGAAAAGTTAAGCTCATCTCTGGCTCATCAAGACCCGGCCCCTGTGTTGATGGGGCAAGTGCAGAAGTGTTTGTGGGAGCTGGAGTGCTGGCAGGCTGGCGAGAGCAGGACAGGGCTAGTACTACCTCAAGGGCTGTACTACTCTTACGCAGTTTGGCTTGAGACTGCAAGACAGAAGGGGAAGACTATCTCATAACCTCTTGCCCTATCCCAGGGCCCAAGGGAAAGTGGGGAAATAATTGGTGTGGGTGGGTGGACATCTTGGGGGAGGAACCTGGAAAGAAGGTTTTCAGTCAGTTAAGGAAAAATAGACCAAAGTTCATTGACTTTAGAAAAAAAGCACATGGTGATGGAGTTGGGAGCATAGGGCGAACCTGAGAACAAGTTTGATCCTGGTCTGAATTAGGTAGATGTCAGGCATGTGTGCTTGGCCTACTTAGAAAGGGTATTTAAATCCCAGTGAGTGGAAATAGGAACCTTCAAGGGGGATTCTTTGCCTCGTAAGTGTTATGTTCTTCTAGATAGTCATCTGTCATCTGTTCTAGTTTTAGGGGAGATTGTCTATTGCCCCCATCTTTTCCTCATCCATTTTGAGGACTAAGCTCAGCTAAGTTAAGAAGTTGTGATTTAAAAAAAAAAGTTTTTATTTTAAAAGCAAGTCCCTTTGGGGGAGAGGAGGGTGGTAAGAGCAGCCTTGTGTGTGGGCTTCTCTTCAGGTGGGTGGGTACAGAGGAATCTATTTTTAACTACTTAGCAATAACTATATGTGGGGTTTGAGTGCACTGAGGAAGGCGGAGGAAGGCCAGACGCTCGGCCAGACTGTTTGAAACAATACCAAAACCCTATACAGAGTTCTTGTCCTCTGCGGCTGCCTTTCTAGAAAAAGCAGCTTAGTGTACTAATTTTTTAAAGAAAAAGAAATAAGATCCTGACAAAAAAATTAAAAATTACTTACCCCCATCCCCATTTAAGTGATTTTTTTTTCTCCTTCCTGTCTATTGCTGGAGAATGAACTTAACATCCTGGCTTCTTTTGTTAAGCCATAGCTGACCTTAATCTATGGTTAGTTTATTAAAATAATAAAAATACTTTGTAAGAAGAATATTTTTGATATTAGGACTGGTATTGAAGTGTGGGAAGGGGCCTTTTATAAAGGTAGCTAGAGAAATATATTTTAGTGAACCGTAGCCACAGGCCCAGATTAGCCCAGTGAGCGGATCTGCCTTTGGATTTCTCCCTTTTCCTGAGCCAACCCTGTTCTCCAGAGGGGTGGAGTGGCCCCAGTGGTGAGAGCGCCCTTGCAGTTTGCACAAAGCACAAGTCTGGACAGCTTATGCTCTGACCAGAGCCATTTCTAAGAGCTTTAAACCAGAAGACTATCTTTCACCAATTGTCCTTTTTCCTTATATTTTTTTTTCTGGGGGAAAAATCATCTATGCAATTATGTACACTTGTGGCTGCATATGAAGAAGAGGTGTGCCTGGAGTGTTAACTGGACTGTGTTCTGGGCTTTGATTTCTTTGCTGAGTGAGGGATGTCATCACCCACTAATGGAATGTAATTCTCACATTTGATCTAAGTCACAAATGGCTGTGTGTGTCTGTGTGTGTGTGTGTGTGTGTGTGTGTGTGTGCATGCACGCTTGAAGAACCCTTGTCTACATGTTTCTTCTGCCTAGTTAGGAAAATGGTCACACACCTCGCCTTGATAATGAAGCTAGTCAAAAATTTCTCAGTGAAATTTAGTTTTTCCCCTCCAAAAATTTGAAAGTCACTCACTTCCATATCTACCATATCTGTTGATTTAATAATTTCCTATCATTATTTTTAGGCAATTTTTTGTTTGTTTCTTTGATATTTAGTACTGGCTGGCCAGCCTGGTACTTGCTATATAGACCAGGCTAGCCTTCAACGCATAGCCACCCTCCTGCCTCAGTCTTCTGAATTGTGGGATCTAGGCATGAGCCACCACACCCAGGTTTCTTTAAGCTGGAACCTAATATGGGACAAGCATTTCTGACTGGTGTATAATTTAAAGGTCTATTCAGAAATTGAGGTTTTTTTTGTTTTTTGATAGGGTCCTACTCTGTAGCCTAGGCTGGCCTCAAATGTATGACCCTCTTGCTTCAGCTTCCCAAGTGCTGGGGTCACACCGTCAAGTATAGAAACATAATATAAAACCCAGATTGGCCAAAACATCAAAATCTTGGAATATAACAGGAATTGGTGTTAAGGTAAAGAAGTGAGCCCTGAACTGAACAACTATGAGGACAAATCCTATTTAAATTTTGATACGTTCATAAAGTTTGTTCTTTTTAAACATTTTTTGATTTTTTAAAAAATATTGTATCAAGATAGTATTTATCTTGATTCCTGGGTTTTAAGCACTCCTTCAGTTTTTCTCCCAAGGTGAATGAATGCCTGTGCCTTGTTCTCATCCCTTTAGACTTGTCGCGGTTCCTGGAGTTTGAATGACACTGGTGAGCCTCTCCCTTCTGACACTACAGACACCATGGTGTGCACTGCTCAGTCATTCTCCCGTACCCTGCATAGATGCCTGCCTAAGTGGATAGGAACAGAGACCTGGCAGGGGTTTTCCTATCAAGTAAAACAGGGGAGTTGCTCTCCCTGGACTGCTGTGTTTGGACTTGATCTGTTATTAGATTGTATTTACCACTCTTGTTTTTAAAAACTGAGGACAAATGAAGAGAAACAGAAACCTTGTATCATGTTTGTTTTTATTTATATGGTACCCAGTCTTAATTGTTTGCCTTTCCAAAGCAAAAATAAAAGGAAGTTCCAGGGAAAGGGAAGGGTGTTCTTAGATGGTGTGGAAAATGGGTCTTAGGCCCTTTAACTTCTTGTTAAATCTGTTTCAGTTGGGAGGATGACACCAAAAGGCCTCTCCATTCTCTGAAACATTCTTTTTTAAAATAAGGAGTGGTGGACTTCATTTTTCATTCTTTTTGGGGGTGAAGGAGGGGTTGAGTAGGATGGAGTTATAATGTCTAGAAAACAAAACCGATATGGACCGGCCTGTCTTTTGGTATAGACGAGCCCATGCAATTGCTGTGGTGGGGAGAAGGGAGGGAGGGTCATGTGGGGGCTTTCAAGTGAGTAGAACCTCCCTTGTTTAGGAGGTCACATGAGTGACGGAAGGCAGACCCTGTATTCTTAGATGAGGCATGGCCTCATCTCTCAGGCTTCCATTTAAGTGCAATTATTCCTGTCAATCCAGGGCATCTGGGCTTCTGCTGAGTGGGATGCAGAGAGGAGATCTTCAGGGTTCTTACTTTTCTCCTTTCACTTAACATGGTTGCACTCTCCACCCTACATTCTGTGTTCCCAGCTTACAGCAAACACACCAGGGCCAGCCTCTACATCCTTCCTCTTAACTCATGCTGGCTTAATTGAGAATTGCAAAAGATTTCCTCATACTGTTTTATAAATAATATAAATTGTATCTTTTTATTTAGTTTTTAAGATGCAATTTCTAAGAGTGACGGATGGTGTTAAGTTCCCTGCTGTGCCTTAAAGTAGAAGTACCTTCCTCGCTATAGGCTTCCAAAGGCCACAGACCAATAAAGCAAAAATTTGCATGATTTTATATTGTACACTTGGGAGGTGATCCTGAGCCCAGAGAATGGAGCTGGTTCTCTGAGATCTGGCTCTTGCCTTTCTTCCTTCAGTCACATGCCCAAGGTTCCAGGCACTTTGTTTTTCCTTCAATAAAGAGCATTTGGAAATAATTGTGAGTTACTCAGACACCTCTGGACTGTGCCCTCATTTTCCAGGGAGGCAGTATCAGCCATCTAGCCATAGGTGAATTGGAAGCCATTTTCTGGCTTAGAAACACATGTACCCCAGAGTCTCCTAATTTTCTTCTTTCCCTCCATCTCCAGTTGCTGATTCAATGAGTCATGGAGGCACTCTGTCTCTTTTAATGTTTTGCAGATACCCAGTCACAAAGTATTGCCTCCTGTGCTTAAGCTGATTAACTACCACGCTTCCATGTAGAATTCCTGTGTCTGCTTCCTCCATTGGCTTTCTGGGTTGGGGGCAGCAGAAGTGATGGAAGCTGTCTAAGGAGTGGGGTGGGAAGGACCTTGGCCTCTTTCTGTGTTTATAACTGGATCTGTGATTCATCCTCTGAGTCACTCAGCTCCACCTCCCTCCTCCGGCTGCCCCTCCCAACAGCCCTTGCTCCTGGCACAAACGTGTAACCAAAATAGGGGTCTGAAAATGAAAAACTGATAGAGCTCTTTGCTTCTCTGTGCCCTCTCCATCCCATGGGCTTCTGGGTGTGTGCTGCTGCAGTCTTCCGTTACCTAACCCACGGCTGCTACCCCTTCGCATTTCTGGTTAGGTGATGATCCAAATCACCCAATTTATTTCTGGTTTCTCCCAGTTCTGACTATTCCTTCCTCTGTATTCTGCTGCTCCCATACCTTGAGGTATTTAAAAAATAGAATGAGGCTCTCTGAAGGAAGAAGGTGGGGAGAGGAAAAGTGGATCGTGGGATTTTAAACCATGGGGATGGGGCACACCTCTCTACCTGCTGCTTCCTTCTTACAGCCCGTACTGTATTCCACAAGACATTGAGGTGTGGGGCGGGGTGGGGGTGGTGGTCAGCGGCCTTTTGGATTCCTACAGTCGGGCTTCTGGGGCTCTTGCTAGCAAGTACATACCTGTTTGTTCCAGACTGACTCTGCTCGGGCTACCTTCACTATTTCCACAGTTTCAGCCAACCCTGGGAACTTGGGAAGCTGAGGCTGGAAGGATGTGTGCTGTGGGGAGGGGAGTATTGGGTGTCACGGCCCCCACTTTAGGATTGCTGCCTCTGTACAGACTCAGAAACAATAAAACAGCAGCTCATTAACAGCAATTTTGTGTTCATTTCCTGTCTTTTCCGTGTTGAAACATGCTGCCCTCGAGTTGCCTTCCCCACCTCCATCTCCGTTCCGCGTCTCCTAGCACCCCACCCCCATCTTTGCTCCTTGAGTTAAGCAAGGAAGGAGGGGGCTATGTGATCCTGGAGCTGAAAGGTTTCCAACCCTTAGCTTTCAAAGTCCAGAACATGAATCATTCATTAGGAGATTTGGTGACTGGGTTGGAGGGGAGGAGGCAGGGCTTTCCAGGGGAATAGGTGAGGGCGGGAACAGGGAGGTGCGCCTGCTGTGCGTAAAGGCTGGATTAGATACTGAGTTTTTCCTGGGCTTTCTACCCGCTTCCCCCCATCCCCAGCCCCACTGCCGAGATTTGCACGCCAAAATACCTGTACGTCTGCATCCTAGACGCACCAACTTCCGCCCACTCCACTTGCCCCTCGGCCTGTCACGCTCTCCGGAAAGGACACAAGGTCCTGTTCTCATTTACATCCTCTTCTCAAGCCCTGTCGTTAGCTTGTCGGTGAAGGTTGAAAATCAAAACATGGGCCAAAATAACAACATAATCACAAACCCATAAATAAACCAAACAAAACACTTGAGTTTCCTAGTGTTTCGTTTCCACTGAAACAGTAGAGCTAGCACAAACTGTTTCTATCTAATAATTGTATTACTGCCCCCACACTTCTAATATTCATGAACAGAAAGAGACTAGAATGTGGGATTGGGTGAAGGGAATTTGTACCCCATTTCTCCCATCTTTCTTAAGGTCCTCCATTTCCTTTCTACTTTCCAAAAAATTGTGCGTATTCTCCTTTAAGGGGTTGGGCATCTCGGCTGTCCTCTTTAGACTCACCGAAGTTTCCAAAGAGCCTCCCGTGTCTGGGCAGGACACACCTTTCAAGTAAGACCACCGGAACTGAGCTCTTGGCATCCCAAAGGCTGTTTCCCTTGGGTCCTCCCTGGCCTCTTTCTCCCCACCTCTAGGATTTAGCCTCTCCCCAGAGAGTGAGCATCTTTGAGAACTCCCACCCTTAGCTGCTCCACTCCCGGATGGAGCCAGGGAAATGTGGTGGGGGGGCCGGGGCCAGAGTTTCAACATTGCCCCCCGGAAGGAGGAGCCAGAGATGGTAAGGAGAAGGAATGGGGGGAGGGGGTGGCAAGCCGGTGTGAATGGGGATGCTGTGGAAATTACGAGGGAAGCAAAGGTCCAGAGGAGGAGGGTGTATCTTTTTATCAACTGCCTTGGAGCTTGCTCTGCCCTTTTCAGTCTCGAGTTGTCTCATTATCCATTAACTAGCCCCTCCCTGTCCTGTCTGCCAGTCCCAGGCCTGAGCTCCTGGCAGTCACTGGTCTCAGTTTCCCCGAGAGGGAGAGGCTCAGTGTGGGTCCCTGCCGGCAGCTGCTGAAGAAATCCCAGATCCTGAGGTTGGGAAGTCCCAGATTAACTCTCCCCTTCTCAGCTCTCTGGACCCAAGTCTGGCGGAGGCAACAGGATGCCGGAGCCCAGCAGTCATCTGCTTGGCAGTTGCCTGGCCTCTGGGTGTCTCCCAGGTAATTGACTTCCCAAGACTCCATCAGGATTCCTCCTACCCCAGCCTTCATATGTTCTCACCAGACATAGCTCTGGATTCCTTTCCTCGGAGTTGTTCTGCCTGAGGCTTGTTCTCCTGTCTCCCCAGAGCTGGTGGGGAACCTTAATGTTCCCTCTTGTTTTCTTACCTTGGTTAGCCCTTTTCTTATTAACTAGTCCATGATCATTGCGTGCCTACTATGTGCCATGTTTTGTACACTGAGTTTTTAGAGGTTAAAAAATGCAAATCATAGCCAGGTGGTGATGGCAGTGCACACCTTTAATCCCAGCACTTGGGACACAGAGGCAGGTGGATCTCTGTGGGTTCGAGGCCAGCCTGGAGCCTGGTCTACAAAGTGAGTTCCAGAACAGCCAGGACTGAGGACACAGAGAAACCCTGTCTGGGGGGAATGGGGGGGGGCAAATCATTTCCCTTCTATTTTCCATTCTAGAAAGAGGAGTAGAGATGTAGACGTGTGGGCAGCACAGGGAACAGTTAGAACTTTGCTTCCTTTTTTCCCTTTTAGGGGAGAAGATCCTAGCATGGGCACCAGGGCTGAGGAAGGGGCAAGAATTGGAACTGCCTGGAACTCTGATCTGCACTAACTTTAGGGTCACCTTCCAACCTTGTGGATGGCAGCGAAATCAGGTGAGATGGTTAGGATAATAGACTAGACAGAAGCTGGGCATGGTGGCAGTGACCTGTGACACCCCCCCCCCCCCGGAGGCTGAGACAGGAAGACCATGAGTGTTCCAGGCTAGCCTGGGCTACATTGCAATACTCTTGTTACTGGACAAAATAAAAGGACAGCTAGAGTGAACAGCAAGGGAGTCTGGATTCGGACAAACAGGATTAGGGGTTTTCTTTTGGATGTATCATTGATAGTAGGAATTATTTCTAGGGAAGTAAGTTGCCTTCTACTGGGGAGGGGAGAGAGGAGTCACCAAGGTGGGACAATGATGGCTGTCTGAGGTCAATAACACCAGTCTTGGCTTCCTTTAGGACACTCCCCTGAGCAGTGAATATGATTTTGCCCTGGTCAACATTGGGCGTTTAGAGGCTGGTAAGCCTGAGGGTTTTATAAAAGGGGCGGGGCAGGCTGGACTGCAGGGATTCCTCCCAGAGTGACCCATAGCTACCCTACTTCGACTCTCGCTTCAGTGAGCAGCTTGTCGAGAGTGCAGCTCCTCCGTCCGGGGTCCCAGCTTAAGTTCATCCCAGAGGAGATTCTCATTCATGGCCGAGACTTCCGTCTGCTTCGAGTTGGTTTTGAGGCTGGAGGGCTGGAGCCGCAGGCCTTTCAGGTAGGAACCCTTTCATTTGAAGAACTCTTTTCACCTTAGGAACCCAGCCTCTTCTCCGCTCCAGGCTCTCTCGTCAGTCCACTCCACTCTAGAAGCTAAAAGACTGGAGCGATAGTCTCCTGAGTGGGAGGGGCCTGAACTGTAGTTTGCCTCTGTCGGTTGTGGGCAGTAACTATGGTTAAGTTTTTACCTCTGAAAATTGTGGAGAGCTGGATAATAGTCCCAAGGTTCCTCCCCCAAATTAATGTTCTGAGTCTGTGGTTCTAAGCTTGTCCCTCTGGTCCCAGTACCCACTTGTGGAGGCCCCCTTCTCTGGGGCCTGCTTAGCCTCTCTGCGCTATTGGTGGTAAAGATGGTGGAGCAACATGTGCTCCGTTTCATTCTTTTTCCTTTCGTCTGGGGCTAAAGGATGGAATATGTTTTCCTCTCCAGGTAACCATGGCCATCGTTCAAGCCCGAGCTCAGAGTAGTCAAATCCAGCACTATAGAGGAGTAACCCTGAGCAAAGTTGGTGAGTGAGGATGCCTTAGCTTAAGGAGATGGAAGAGTCTGAAACGGAAGGGGCTAGCTGGATAAAATATTTCTTCTCCCTCTGTGTCTCACTCCTGCTCCAGGCAAGGTTACTGGCTCCAGAAAACCACCTATTCCTCTCTTGGAGACTTTAGAAGACTGGGAAGCTGAGCGGAAGAAGCAGGGGGCCAGAGGCTGGAGGGTTAGCACAGTCAACGAGAGGTTCGACATGGCTACCAGGTGATGTCCCTGTCCACCCACTCCTGCTGCCTTCCAGGTCTTCCCAGAGTCTCTTGATCATCTAAGCCAAAACTTCCCATAAACTCCAGGCTCTGTTACCTCTGTTTTTAAAACCTGAGATCCCTTGGAATGGTCTTTCCAAAATAACTTCCTTGTCATACTAGCTCCTATTAGCAGAGGTCACTGACAAGCTCTGACGTCACTCTTTGTTTTGTCATACTAGCTCCTATTAGCAGAGGTCACTGACAAGCTCTGACGTCACTCTTTGTTTTGCAGCCTCTCGGGTTACTTCTGGGTCCCTAATCGAATTCTGGACAGTGAGGTCAGAAGAGCATTTGCCCACTTCCAGCAGGGCCGTGGACCGGTTAGTCTGAGATTAGAGGGTCAGGGGAAAAGGGATTGGAGGGCTTCCTGTGAGGTCATTGTCGGGACAAGGGCAGTTTAAGAATAGTTCTTCTACAATGATCCTCTTCTCACCCTTATGAAGCGCTTGTCCTGGCACCACCCTGGCGGCAGTGACCTTCTCCGATGTGGAGGCTTCTATGTAGCCAGCGACCCTAACAAAGAAGATGTCAGGTGAGGAGTTGCGATGACACTTGGGGCTAGGTATTCTTAGGAGACACCTTGCTGTAATTCCTGACTCCCTTCCTTCCCTGCAGAGCAGTGGAGTCCATGCTACAGGCTGGGCACCCTGATGTTGTCTTGGTAGATTCTATGGACGAGATGCCCAGTCTTGCTGATATCCAGCTTGCCCACGTGAAGCTGAGGGCCCTTTGCCTGCCTGGTGAGAATAACCTGTGAGCCCCCAACTCTGCCCTGGTTTACTATTTTGTATATTATAGATGAATGGCCCTTAGCCCATGAACCTTCACTTTTCTACCCCATCTTCATCACTTACAGATTACCAATAGCCTGTTTTCCCCTAAATCTTTTTTGTTTTGATTTCTTATTAAGACAGAGTCTCACACGTAGCCCAGGCTGATCTGCAGCTCACTATGTAGACCAGGATGGCCTCAAACTCACTGACCCACCTGCCTGCCTCTGTCTCATGAGTGCTGGGATTAAAGGCATGCACCACCACACTCTGCTCCCCAACTTTAAAAACAAAACTCCACTGCTGGCTGAATATGGGTCCAGTGGCACACACGCATACCTACATGGGCTGTGAGACACTGTCTCAGAACAAAAATAAAAAAAAAAAATCTTTATGAAATTCACTCTACCCATCTTAAGTATACAGTGAATTTTATTTACTATATTGTATACTCAAAAACCTTTTTTAGCCGGGCAGTGGTGGCGCACGCCTTTAATCCCAGCACTTGGGAGGCAGAGGCAGGAGGATCTCTGTGAGTTCAAGACCAGCCTGGTCTACAAGAGCTAGTTCCAGGGCAGGCTCCAAAACCACAGAAAAACCCTGTCTCGAAAAAAACCAAACCAAACCAAATCAAAAAACCTTTTTTAAATGCTCAGGATCAAACCCAAGGCCTTCCTTTATATTTAATCATGTGTACACATGTGTCTGTATGCCGTGTATTTGGGGGTGCCTGTGGAGGCCAATGGTGTTAAACCACCTAGATCTGGAGTTACAGGTGGCTCTGAGAATCAAACTCAGGTCATTGGGAAGAGTGATGTGCACTCTTAACACCAAGTATTCTATCTAGCCCCCACTACTAAACCATTTTATTTTGTTTTGCTTTTTTGAGACAGGGTCTTATTGTGTAGCCCTGACTGTCCTGGAACTCACGCTGTAGACCAGGCTGGCCTTGAACTCATAGACGTCTGTCTGCCTCTGCCTCCCAGGTGCTGGGATTAAAGGAGTGATACCCCTTTATGTGCATTGGTGTGAGGGTGTCAGATCTCTGGAACTTGAGTTATAGCTGTGAGCTGCCATGTGGGTGCTGGGAATTGAACCTGGGTCCTCTGGAAGAGCAGCCAATGCTCTCAAGCACTGAGCCATCTCCTTCGCCCTCTCTACCAGACTTTAACCCATAGGGTATAGACCTGGACCCTTATCTCTGCCTTTCTTGACCCCTCTCTGCTAGATTCTTCCGTAGCTGAAGATAGGTGGCTCTCAGCCTTGGGAGGAACACGGTGGCTGGACTATGTCAGGTATGCTCAACTTTCTAATTTTGGTTAATAATTCCAACTTGTAGCCGAATGTAATGGTGCACACCTTTAACCCCAGCACTCAAGGCAGCAGCAGAGGTAGAGGGTAGAGGCAGGTGGATGTCTATGAGTTCAAGTCCAACCTGGCCAAGTTCCAGGATAGCCAGGGATACTAGTAAGACTCTGTCTTAAAACAAACAAAATAAAATCCAACTTCTCCAGCCTTCTCTTGATTTGGACTTTCCAATGGCCTTCTATAAACTATCCCCTCAGTTCCCCAAGAAGACTGTACTACTGTTTCTTAGGAGGAGCAGGTGTTTGGAAATCTGCCTCTCTTCTAATCTATTACTCCCTTCCTCACATGCCCCTCCAGGTCTTGTCTTCGAAAGGCCAGTGACATCTCAGTATTAGTGACATCTCGGGTCCGTTCTGTGGTACTTCAAGGTGAGTTCCTTGGGTCAGCTCCTTGCAGTCCTGACCTTTTCCTTCATGTGACTGGAAGATCTGTAGAGCTTCCTTACGCCCTTAAATTCTAGCATCTTTGTGCTCAAGGAAGCAGTTGTGCCAAGGCTTCCTTCAGAGCTATGCAGTCTCCCTGCTGTAATAAGATGCTCTTAGTCTCTCTGGCCCCTTCATCAGTGGATGGGGACCTGTCCCCATGCAGGTCCCCAGGAAGCGTGGCTCTGCTTCCTCTGTGACACTTCCTCTGTGTTTCTAGAAGGTGAAGTCTATGAAGTGATTCATTTGAGCTTTGTTTTCTCTTCACTTCTCTGTGCCCTTTCAATCCTGCTTTCTCTTCCTTTCCTTTCCGTGCCCTCCTGTCCTCTCCCATGTTTCCTCTTCCCATTCCCTCCTGCCCTAGTTTCTCGGACCCCCTTTTTTGTTTCTTCTTCATCGCCCAGAGCGTGGGGATCGCGATTTCAATGGCCTCCTCTCTTCACTCGTCCAGCTGCTTTTGGCCCCAGAAGCCCGGACATTGTTTGGTTTCCAGTCACTAGTGCAACGAGAGTGGGTGGCAGCTGGACACCCTTTCCTGACCAGGCTTGGGGAAACTGGGGGCAGTGAGGAGGTGAGAACACTTTAGGTTTTGTTTTGGGGGGGAGGTCATTCTGAAGAGAGTGAGAGAATGGTAGAGGCTGAACCACTGGAAGTGAACACATTCTGAGTGGACACTCAGTTGGCCAGGCTCACATCCTGATGCTCCTAACTCTGACCTCCTTAGTATCCTGCTCCTGGGCCCTTTGTTCTTGTATTTTGCTATCCCCTTCTTTAGATTCCTGTAGACTCTCCAACCTCTTTTTTCCTTTTTTAGGCCCCAGTGTTTCCTCTCTTCCTTGACTGTGCCTGGCAGCTCCTCCAGCAGTTTCCAGCTGAATTTGAGTTCTCTGAGTTTTTCCTTCTTGCTCTGCATGACAGCATCTGGGTTCCTGACACCCTCACCTTCCTGAAAGACACTCCCTGGGAACGTGGGAAGAAGAGTGGGCAGGTCAGTGACCTCTATAGTTTTGGTTTTTCTTCCTCCGGTAGAGTATTCAAACTTTGAGATTTGGTCTTGATTTATAAAAATTGAGGTATATGGAAGGGGTTGGGGGAGCTCCCTCTTGAGATTAGACTTTTGTTCTATATATGATGCCTGAAATAGGAAGTAAGGGGGTTTTAAGATGTAGGACAGGTAGACACACACACACACTGGTTTAACAATCCGTTTAAAATTTGCGTGCGTGCGTGCACGTTTATGTGTGTGAATGTGTGCATGCCATAGGAGTCCTGCGGTGGTCGGAGGGCAAGCTCAGGCTGTCTTCACCCTCCACCTACTGCTTGTCTGCTGCATACTCCAGCCTTGCTGGACCTGCACTCTCAGGGACTCTCCTGTGTCTGCCTCTCGTCTTCCTGTGGAAGCACTGAGGTCGCCGACCCTGAGCTGTGTGTCTGGCCTTGTGTGGGTTCTGGGTATTCAAATTCACATGGCAAGTGCTTTTCTCCACGAAGCCACTTCCTGAGCTCTAACAACCCCCTTTTCTTGCTTCTGCTGTCCAGTTCAGCTCCTATACTCAAATTTACCCCCCTGAGGACTCCCAGTCCCTAGCTGGGAGCTCTGCTAATCTACATCTGTCTGTCTGGGACTGGGATTTACGCTACAGCAAGGAACAGATATCACAGTTCCTTAATCCTGGCTACAGTCCGGAGCACTGCCCAGATTCCTGGCTCCCCAGACAACAGGTAAAATGCCTACCCTTCAATTTCCCTGACTTTCTCAGGCTCACACTACTAGACGATGTAGAAAGACAGGATATCAGAGATCCTCAGAGAAAGCTGCTGTCTTTCAAAGCTGTCACATAGAGCCTGTCTTCAGCAAGACCGCTGTCCCAGAATAGCAGACAGCATCCTTTTTGTCTTCATTTCTGCTTGCTAGTCCTCTTGTTTCATGTCCATATATTACAAGTTTCTCTAAAAATGAACCTAGCCGGGCGGTGGTGGCGCATGCCTTTAATCCCGGCACTCGGGAGGCAGAGGCAGGCAAATCTCTGTGAGTTCGAGGCCAGCCTGGACTACAAGAGCTAGTTCCAGGACAGGAACCAAAAAAAAGCTACGGAGAAACCCTGTCTCGAAAATCAAAAATAAAAATAAAAAATAAATAAAAACAAACCTAATAACCCTGAAGCCCTAAGCCTAGTGAGACGGGAGCTCAGGCGGCTTGGAGTTTCAGCCACCGGGACCATGAGTGGGTGGCAGCTGGATACCCTCCCACTTCAGAAAGCAGTTGTTTTCTCGGTTGCCTGTTGACTTCACTTTCTTTTTTAGAAAAGCTTCATGGTTCCTGGACCCCCCAGTTCTGTGTGGCTGTTCTCTCGAGGGGCCCTGACACCCCTAAATCAGCTCTGTCCTTGGCAAGACAGTCCCTCCTTGCTGGCAGTCTCTTCTCATTGGCTCCCTCGACCTGCTAGATCCTCTGAAAGCCTAGCTGATCAAGAATGGGGGCTCCCCTCACATTGGGGAGCTTGCCCTTTACCTCCTGGGCTACTGCTGCCTGGGTATCTGGGACCTCAGATCAGATTCTGGAAACGTTGTTACCTGAGGGGAAGGCCTGAGGTCCAGGTGAGAAGGGAAGACAGACAGGAGGGGGAGAAAGAGCTGGAAAGGCAACAGGCTGGAGGAACTGGGGGTACTCTATCTATCAAGCTGGGATACTGTTTATCCACTTGGGCTAATCGGTGGTGGGAAACTGCCTCTGGCTTGAGTCATGTAGAATGTAGGGCACGGGCAGAAGAGGAAGGAGCATTTAAGACTCTAGAAGTAGCAAGGATCTTAAAAACAGATACTACTCCTTTGCCAGGCAGTGGGGCCCATGCCTGTGTGCAGACCAGGCTAACCTGGTTTACAAAGTGAGTTTCAAGACAGCCAAGGCAACACAGAGAAACCATGTCTTGAAAAACACAAAACAAAAAAAAGCAAGCAAACCAGCGAGACTTGCAACAATATACCTTTGTGCCCTTCTTTCTCTCCTCCCCAGATGGGCTCCTCAGCAGTTACAGTCTCTGGCCTCCAGGAAGAGCTCTCTTGTCTCCAGGAACTATTAAGAAAATTGACACCAGGAGTATCTCCTGAGGATCACTGCAAGAAAAGAGATCCAAATACCATGCTCTCTCAGATCCGTTGAAACTGCTAGCATTCTGGAAGGCAGGGCAGAGGGGACGGAGGAGGCGGTTCTGCCAAGCTTTCTTTGTATCTGACTTTGGTGCTCAGTTTTCACTTCCCAGCCCATAAAGGAGCTAACTCCCTGCCTGAGTCCCTGTAGCAGAGGCGGGGGCTTCCAACCTCCAGCTCCCTCCAGCTCGCCTGTCTAGTTTGGTTACTAGAGCTATTTTTGTTTCTCTTGATTTGAAGAATAAGAAACAAAACCAGTTCAGAATGTGGTTGCCTCCCGCCCCACCCCCAAGGCAATTCCATACCTTTTAGATCACAAACAGTCAAAACTGTGAGATCAGTCCCTAGATGTCCTAGAGACCTCATTCTCAAGCCTCACCGAGGCTTTGAAAACCCGGTCTTTTAGTCTTCTACCGGAACGAGGTGAATAAGGGAGACATCCTCCCCTCCCACTGTGTATTTTTGTAGTGGTATTTCTATTTAAGGAATTCATTAAAGTACAGTACTTCTACGCACTGCTGGTAGCGTTTCTTGTGTTGAATGATGATCTCAGAAAAGCGGTTGGAAGAAAAGTATGAACGGAGAGAATAGCACTCATGTTATTGATAAGGAAATAAAGGACACGAGTCAGGTGGGGCTGGGCTGAATTCACGTGAAATGTGGGGACAGAAGGGTGCCCCCCCTTTCCTTTTTTCCTTTTTTTTTGGGGGGGGGGAGGAGACAGGTCTCTCAGTGTAGTCCTGGCTGTCCTGAAACCTCTGTTTTGTTATGTTTTTCTAGACAGGGTTTGTGTGTGTAGCCCTGGCTGTCCCGGGACTAGCTCTGTAGACCAGGCTGGCCTCAAAATCCACCGGCCTGAGTGCTGAGATCACCAGGTGCCATCACGCCCAACACGCCCAGGGAAAGGTTCTCTTTGTGTTTCTTATATAGGCGATGGGACAAGAGCGTGAAGCTGCTGAGACCAGAGTGTGTTGTGGAAAGCTTCAATACTGGCCTTGGGTCTCTGATTTCCCAAACATTAGTGGAGCTCAGACACTTCAGGCGCGGAAAACAATCTACCTGGAGCTCAAGCCAGGGCTAAGGGCGGATCTGCACGAGGGGCGTGGACTGAGGTCCTAGGCTGCTTCCGAAGGCAGACCTGGGGAAGCCCCCGTCCGCCCCCCCCCCCCGCTTCCCCCCCCAGCACACTTCTCTGAGTCACGGAACATACAAAGCTCGGCTCAGCACTTGAGTTTGCACTTGGGGAGCAGTGTGATCCTCTGACAGTCGAGAACTGCATCAAGAGGGGCTGAGTGCGTCTGTTCCTCCCCTGTGTTGTGACAGCTCCAGAGCATCTTTCCAGACAATCCGACTCCTAAGATGGCCGCGATCGCTTCCGGTTCCTCCCCTGCCGCCGGCCCCGCCCAATGTGAGCCTTGGCCCGGAAGTGGAAGTAGTAACTGAGGTCAGAGGGCGGTGCTGCTGCTTAGAGACGGCGGGAGCCTTTTCGCCATGGCTGCCGGACCGATCTCCGAACGGAATCAGGGTAATTGAGAGAGAAGAGCCCAAGATGGGCCCAGGGGAGGCGGAGGGCGGATTAGTGCCAGAAGCGTGTCTGCCAGGGTGGGAGACTAGATTCCCCCGGTGTGAGGCCAGCCTCTGGGTGCTGGGCCTGGAGGCCGGGTGCAGGCCGAGGCCTGTATGGGGTGATGCTTCTAGATCCAGTCCCTTCGGCACTGCCATCCCCAAACAGAGGGAAGCCCACCAGGAAAAAGCGCCGAATTAGACTTCAGTGGACTTTCTCGACTAGGCAGGCAGAGGGAGGCTTCAGCGCTTTAGGTAGCGTTTTTCATTTTTGTTTTCCTTCCAATTCCTGACCTTACTTTTACCTTCTGCTCCCTCGCTTTAGATGCCACGGTGTACGTGGGCGGTCTAGACGAGAAAGTAAGCGAACCTCTGCTGTGGGAACTCTTTCTCCAGGCAGGGCCAGTGGTCAACACCCACATGCCAAAGGACAGAGTCACTGGCCAGCACCAAGGTGAGTGGATGGCAAGAAGGAACTCCACGTAGGGTTAACGGCCCCTGAAGAGTCTCAACCCTAGTAGTCCCAACTGTTTTGGAAGGAGCACCCTAAAGATTTCTTTTCCTTAGGCTTCAGTTCGTAGTTTGTTTCTGGAGTATTCTCTTAGCTTTAGTTTGAAGTTACTGGAATTGTTCTCAGCTAAAGCGAGGTTACCCCTTCCGTCCTGGTCCTTGTTTGGAGGCTGGTGAGTTAGTGTTCACTTCCCTTCACCTGAGTAGTCAGTAGTCCCTTCTCTGCTCCGATTCCGCAGGCTATGGCTTCGTTGAATTCTTGAGCGAGGAGGACGCCGACTATGCCATTAAGATCATGAATATGATCAAGCTCTATGGGAAGCCGATCCGGGTGAACAAGGCTTCCGCTCACAACAAAAACCTGGACGTAGGGGCCAACATTTTCATTGGGAACCTGGACCCCGAAATCGATGAGAAGCTGCTCTATGATACTTTCAGCGCCTTTGGGGTCATCTTACAAACCCCCAAGATCATGCGGGACCCGGACACGGGCAACTCCAAGGGCTATGCCTTCATTAACTTCGCTTCATTTGACGCTTCTGACGCAGCAATCGAGGCCATGAATGGGCAGTACCTGTGTAACCGTCCTATCACTGTGTCCTACGCCTTCAAGAAGGACTCGAAGGGCGAGCGCCATGGCTCAGCAGCTGAACGACTTCTGGCAGCCCAGAACCCGCTGTCCCAGGCTGACCGCCCTCATCAGCTGTTTGCCGACGCACCTCCTCCACCTTCTGCCCCCAACCCTGTGGTTTCATCCCTGGGTTCTGGACTTCCTCCACCAGGTAAAGCTTTTAGTTCAAACTACACCAGGGAGGCCCATAGGAGGGGGAGGGTCAGGGGGCAGAAAAGGCCCTGAAGGAGTGAGCCATTAAATCAGTGGGCAGTGAGAACAGGGAGCGGTGGTGGAAGGGACGAAGTTGTTGGGTGTCTTCAGGAGGCTGGACACTAGCACTCACTCTCCCTTCTTACACAGGCATGCCTCCTCCTGGCTCCTTCCCACCTCCGGTGCCACCTCCTGGAGCCCTGCCTCCCGGGATACCCCCAGCCATGCCCCCGCCCCCGATGCCACCTGGGGCTGGAGGACATGGCCCCCCAGCAGCGGGAACTCCAGGAGCTGGACATCCTGGTCACGGACATTCACATCCTCACCCGTTCCCCCCAGGTGGGATGCCCCATCCAGGTGAGTGCTCTTTGCTGGGAAGAGGAGCTGAGCTTGTGAGACTGCCTTGGTGATTGCCCCGGCCGCTGCTCTTTGTCTTGGGAGGAAGTAGTCCAGGGTCCCCCTTTCCGTCAGAAAACAATACTTCTCCACGCTCCCACTTCATCTCCAGCTTTTCATTTCTGCAGAATAGGCTGTACTTGCTGCTGTTTTTACTCTTAGCCTCTTCCCATTCCCAGTTAGTGACTCGGTTGCCAAATCTAGGTGATGTTTCTGCTTCCTTTTTTTTTGTTTGATTTTGTTTCGTTTTGGGAACTTGCATTGTAGACCAGGCATGCCTTAAGAGATCTGCCTGTCTGCCTCCCAAGTGCTGGGATTAAATATGGCGCCACCACCAATCAGCCTTTTCTGCTTCTCAACCACTGCTATGCATGTGACTAGCCATGTCTTCCTGTTTGAAATTCTTGTGTTTTTCTGTTTTTCTTTATTCTCCTTGTGACTTACCAGCCTTAGCAACCTGGACCAGCCCTCCCCCCCCCCTTTCTGTCTGTGTAGATTTTATATTTGGTTCTCTTTTCTATGTTTATCTGTAGTGCTAAATGTGCAGGTACTGATTCCTTCTGGGTCTCTGGTCCATGGATCTTGATGACAGGCTAGACAAGGCTGCTCCTCAGCCCACAGGTTGCTTTTCTTTCCTTCCTGAGCCTTCTTCCACAGCCCTTGTTTGTAGCCGCTAAGTTCACAGCTCTGGGAGTTTGTCTGTTGTGTCATCCACTTGCGAATCTAACGCGTGTTCCCGCCCTTGGCCACAAGCCGGCACCCTGCTCTCCTGCACCTGTAATGACTGCTGATCTCCTGTCTCTTTGGCTCTAATTTTCTCTGTCTTTGATCTACTTTTCTTGAGTGATTTTTCTAGGATGTTCATAGACATGTCCTTAAAATTCTTCTGTTCCTGTCACTTAAGAAATTGCCATAGCACTCCGTACTCAGGTTCTCCTGATGGCCTAGTTATTAGTATTTCTGTGTTTGGCGATTTGCGCACGCCAGACTTCCTGCTGGGAGCCGTTGATGTCCACTCTGCTGTCCTCTTAAGGAACCTTTTTTCAGTGCTGGTGGTGGCTTTACAGTATATTCCTGGCTGGCCTGGAACACTGTAGAGCAACAGATCCTTCTGTTTCTGCCTCCCTTGTGCTGGGATTAAAAGTGTACACTACTATGGCAAGAAAAAGGTTTATTTTATTTTTTTGGTTTTTCGAGACAGGGTTTCTTGGTGTCCTGGAACTATCTCTGTAGACCAGATCCACCTGCCTCTACTTCTGAAGTTCTGGGGTTAAAGGCGTCCTCCACCACCCACTGGCATTTATTTTATTTTTTATAATTTAGTTTCTATTGTTTTTTGAGCCAGAGTCTTATGTTGCCCAAACTGGTCTCGACTTTGCTAGGTGTCTAAGGTTGTTCTTCATCTGCTACTGATCCTCCTGCTTCAGCCTTCAACATGCTGGAGAATGCAGGTGTGAGCTTCCTGAGTCAGGGTTTCTCTGTGTATAGCTCTGGCTGTCCTGGAACTAGTCCTTGTAGACCAGGCTGGCCTCGAACTCAGTGTGTGGCATCACCTTGCTGCTGGGAAATCTCATTGGGCTTGTAGAATGAAGCCTTTGCCCTGGGGTATGACTGCCACCCCGTCCCAAGTCCTGTCGTAGAGCAAAAATTCTGCTGTTGTATAGTGCTGTCAGCATCCCTGTGCTTGAGTCATAGAAGAAAAACGAGTGCACATTTCATTGTCTTTTTTCTTCACGTCAAGAGAAAAGATATTTCTGATGTGCTAAACAAACTTGGAGGTAAATTAGCAGCGTGGCTACTTTGGCCACTGCTGTCAGACAAGTATTGATAGAAAAATAAAATCATAGAAGGAAAGTGAAGAGCCTACAGAACTGGTTGGGTCTTACTGTTGATAGGTGAAGGACAGTGGCAGCCCTGTTTTAATATTCTCCGTGTCACTCTCGTCATTTTGTTTTTTCTTTGCGCTTTGTTCCTTTTGTCTCCTTTCCCTTTGTTTTATTTTCATAGGGATGTCCCAGATGCAGCTGGCCCACCATGGCCCCCATGGCCTAGGACACCCCCATGCTGGGCCTCCAGGCTCTGGAGGACAACCACCACCCCGGCCACCTCCTGGAATGCCGCATCCTGGACCTCCTCCCATGGGCATGCCCCCCCGAGGGCCTCCTTTTGGATCTCCCATGGGTGAGTGGGTGCTAGCCCCTTTATCCATCCTCACAACATTTCTCTGTGTGTGAGAGACAGGCTCTACCCCCTGGGTAGCCTTGGCTCCTCCTCCTCCTGCTGCCTTGGTGCTGGGGTTATGGGGCCTGTGTGGCCGAGCTGGCAGTTCTGCGTGTCCTCTTACAGCATTTTGTCACTGCCCTGTCCCCTGCCTTCTGTGGCTTCTCACATTTCTTCTGTTCCGTCAGCATCAACTGCTACTTGTTTTCATTTTTATTAACTTTTCTCTTTCTGCAGGTCATCCAGGCCCCATGCCTCCGCATGGTATGCGCGGGCCTCCTCCATTGATGCCCCCTCACGGATACACTGGTCCTCCAAGGCCCCCTCCCTACGGCTACCAACGGGGGCCCCTCCCTCCACCCAGACCCACTCCACGGCCCCCAGTTCCCCCTCGTGGTCCACTTCGGGGCCCACTTCCTCAGTAAATTGCCGTCCTTTGTCTCCCTCTTACACCCTCCCAGTACCGCCATTTCTTGGACCAATCAGAGTTGCTGCAGCTTGTCAGGGCTAGTGCACTGCCCCTCAGCAACTCTGTCCCTGTTTCAGTGTCATTTTTCCACAGGGGGGTTTTTCTTCATTTCTGTTTCAAAATGTTGGTCCAAATTGTTTTACAGATGTATAGAGAAAATAAAAGTATACTTCTTACTCTTTGGTGAAGTAACTTTTAAGAGCAGTCGGGGTACTGTGGGGGAGTGGTATAGAAAGAGGGCGTTCCCCTTGTAGAGGTCACGTGTGCCGCTGCTAGACTACAGTGGCTCAACCACCAGACGCCTGTACCAGAGCAGTTGTTCTGGAGTAGACCTTAGCCTCTGGCTCATGATGGGGACATTAGCAGCAAATAACATGG